ATCAATTTGGGGAGAGCTGTACTCTTAACAATTGGAGAGCTGTACTCTTCCAATATATAAATATATATACATATATCATTTTATTTAGGTCTTCTTTAGTTTCTCTCTGAATTGTTTCACAGAGTTTCTGTGTGTGTATAAACTAAAAAAATATATGTCTCTAAAAGCATTCTAGATTGTTTTGTTTTTTGCTTATCACAGTGCTAGGAACTGAACTCAGAGGTGCTCTAGCATTGAGCTACAACCCCAGCCTCCTTTCTCATTTTTGCTTTTTTAAATTTTGAGACAGACAATAAAGATATTTTAAATCTTCTATATTAATTAATGTTATTAATATTAAGTGTATATTTATATCTAAACAGAGTACATATGTGTTTCAAATAAACTAACATAGAAATGACATGCAGAACCTATAGTTCACATAAAAATGATATGTAATGATTTAAGTAAACTTTTTTTTTCCAGAGAAGTTTTAGGTAAATAAAAAATAATTTGATGGATCACGAGCTTGGTAAGTTTTTATTATATAATAAACTCTGATTATATGACCAAAAACTAACTAAATAAATTTTTAGACAGGGTCTCACTAAGTTGTTAAGGTTGGCCTCCAACTTGAGATACTTTTGCCTTAATCTTCCGAGGAACTGGGATTACTGGGATTACAGGCATGTGCCACCATACCCAGCAGCAATCCAGATTGTTTTTTTAAAGCAGGTTTAATCTGAATGTTAATACATATTACCTATTCAACCATTTAATTTTATAATTAGGATAACGCCTGGTATTGCTTCCACTAGTGTTCCCCCAATAGTAGTTTTGAAAATCAATGCACATCATAAATATTATTGCTGAGAGTACATTCTGCATGAGACAGTCTGAGAAGCATAACCATAGGAAGCAGATAGTTCATACTGTTATTACAGAGAAAGTTAAATACAAACTTTTAGACATCTTAATGGTGTATTTAAAGAGTTCTGGACAATAATTGTTGCTTATCTTCTCAAGTAAACAACAGATTATAAACTCACCCTGGATAATAACAGTAATAACAAATCACTTCTATAATGCTTTCTATGTGTCAGGTACTCTTTTAAGAACTTTAAAACTATGAATTCCTTTAGTCTTTATAACAACCCTATTGGTAGTGAATATTATCTTCATTTTACAAGAGGAAAATCAAATCCAGAGAAGTTAAATAAGTCATCCAAAGTCATACAGCTTAAAGATAGTAGAACTAGAATTCAGACCATTAGCAGTATGATTATAGAATTCATTCTCTTAACCTTTCTGTACCATGAGAGAATAGAGGATTTCATTAAAAAGTATTTGCAGATTTCTGCTTCCAGTAATGAGAAATTGGGTGATTCAGATCAACTCTCCCAGAGAAGTAGAAAAGCTAAATAATGGGGCTGGAGTTACGGCTCAGCTGTAGAGCGCTAGCCTCACACATGCAAGGGCCTGGGTTCGATCCTCAGCACCAAATAAATAAATAAATAAATAAATAAAGTTAGAAAATAATGATTTCTAAAAAAAAAAAAAGCTAAATAAAATATTTTTAAAAATCTAAATGAATACATCAGAGAACAAATAAATGGCAAAGAATTAACAGTCCACAGTCCAAAGACCGAAGTCCAGAGAAATCAGTCACATTTGGGTTTCTTTTACTGTGGCAGATCTGCTGATTCTATATGAAATGACTAGGAGGCTATATTCAGTCTTTTGGGCAGTTTTATAAAACTGAGGGAAGCCCTAGTAAAGCCCTGGTAAAACTGGGCCCCTTAAAGGTTGCATCCTAGGGGTAAGAGTGAACAAGAAATAAAATACAACTTTCACTGACTAAAACTGTTCCGAGTCATCTTGGTGGTCCAGAAAATATTAATCCTGTGAATTTAAGGTGATTAAAGTGATCCTAGCCTCTCATGAATCATCTAGGCATTGAAGAGCAAAGAAAATCCTATCTGGAAGAGAGTCTTATCCAAGGTTACGGCCTATTTTTACAACTTTTCAAACAAAGTATTTGACACATAGTCAAAGAAAACTAGGCACAAAACAAGACAACATAAATTTTATGCAAGAGAAAAAATAGATCATAGAAATGGATACGTCATAGTTCCAGATATTTGGATTGTCAGAGAAAAGACTTTAAAATAACTATCTTAAACTATTTTCAAAGAGATAAAAAATTACATAGAAAATAAGTGATACAAGAGATATGAAAAATAAGTGGAAATTCAAGAACTGATAAATGTTTCAAAGGAGTAAAATCATATAGTATATATTTTCTGATCACAATGCAATTATGATAAAAATAATTAATAAAAAGACAGTCTGTATTTTTGGAAATTAAGAAATAAATCTTGGGCTGGGGGTATAGTTCAGTGGTAGAATATGTGTTCAACATGTGCTAGGTCCTGGGTTCAATCCCTAGCACATGAGCACACAAACGCATAAACACACACACAAAAAAAATCACTAGATGGGATAGATACAACTCTAAACCAAAGAAGTCATAATAGAAATTGGAAAATATTTTGAACTAAATTCTATAAAAAATATTGCTATTTATACAATTAAAATTGTGCCTAGAAGTTTCTGGACTTAACTGGATATATTACAAAGAAAGCATACGGAAAATTCAGGAGTTAATTAAGTACCTATACAAAAAAATTCAGGAAAAAAAAATGAAATAAGCCCAAAAAGTTAAATGAAGGCAATAAAGAACAGAAATGAATCAACCAGAAATCAGATGATAGAAGGATTTAAAAAGCCAAAGTAAGCCAGAGTTTGGTTCTTTGCAAAAATTAATAACATAGACCCCTGGGGTATCTGAGCAAGGGAAAAAGAGTAGCCATGTTATACATTAAAAAAATGGATATTATGCTGGGGCACGTCTGTAATTCCAGCTACTCAGGAGGCTAAGATGGAGAGGCCTAAGTTTGAGGTCAGCCTAAGACTCTGTTTCAGAAACAAAATTTGTTTAAAAAGTTGGGGAGCTGGGGATGTAACTCAGTGATAAGAGTGCTTGCTTAACATGTATGAAACCCTGTGTTTAATCCTCAGTATTCAAAAAAAAAAGTGGGGCTAGAGATGTAGCTCAGTGGCAGAGTGTTTGCCTAGTACATGCAAGGTCCTGGGTTCAAGCCCAAGCACTGCAAAAATAAACAAATAAGTAAATAAAAAGTTAAAAATAACAAAAAAAAAAGGATGTTTAAGAAGGATGCAATGTAATAAAAGGATTTTATGACTTTATGCCAGTGATTTTGAGAAGTGTAATGAAATAATTCTTAAAAATATACAACTTACCAACAAATCCCACCATTATGTACAACTATAATGCACCAACTAAAAAAAAAGTGTCTATGTTTATACCTTCAAAAAAAGAAGAAATATACCACTTATAAAAAAGCCAACACAAGAACAAAATATTTCCATAGTTATGAGATGATTATTAAAAATTATATTTGTAATTAAATTATTAAACTAATGAAATGAAATTCATAATTCAAAGCTTTTCACAAAGAAAACTCCAAAATCATGTCTTTATCAACAATTTTACTACTAATTTATGGCAGAAATAATTCTAATTATGTATAAATTGTTCCAGAGAATAAAGAGATAAGCAAACTGTTTAATAACTCATTTATAAAATCAGCAATAAGAGGAAAGTATAGATCAAAAATATGAAGAAAAGGAGTAACTAAACATAATTAAAGTCAGAACAGTGGTTACTTTAAGATAAAAGAGTAGAAGTTATAATTGGGAAAGGGCAGTCAGTGGGGGGGGAAGCTTCTGGGAGCTGACTATGTTATGTTTTCTGACCTCAGTGGTGGTTTCCAAGCATTCGCTTTATAATGAATCATTAAAATGCACATTTCTGTCTATATGCAGGTACAATATAATTTGTAATAAAAATTTAATTTAAATTTATGGAACCAAGGTTACTTAATAAAAGAATGGTATAAACAAACATCTGTTGACTTTCATTAATAAACTTTTCTTTCAGTGCTCGAGATAAAACCTAGGGACTCACACTAGGCAAGCACTCTACCACTGAGCCTCAACCCCAGCCCTAGATTAAGTAATTTTCTTGACTATGTATCTTTACGTACTCTAAGAGGTTTGTAACTTCCTCTTCTTGGATACTCTCTTTTAGAACTTAATCTCTTTACTGTCCACTAGCTTCCAAGTTCCATTAACACATACTATACCAGAATCAATAGCTATAATTACAATTTGTAGAAAGAGCATCAATTCTTGAATATTCTATATTTTTTTCACATGGGGGCACTGTTTGTAAACTCAAATTTTAATCTTGGTTTCTGGGATGATAACACACTAAAAGTAACCAGTGATTTCTAATAATTGCAAGATGTATATTATAAAGGCATACAAAGCAGGTAGTTTCATCTGGAAACCAAATAAACATCAACTCAACAGTTTTCCTGGGAACTTCCACATCTGTTTTCTATCACTGATTATTTTAATCTATTTGTCCCCAGTTTTTGTGTATTCAGTCCTAGTTCAAAATCCAGACATTTGTCTAGAAAAAGCCTTTCTAGTAACAAAATTTTAATTTAGTGACCTGAAATTGAAATGGTCTTTTATTGAGACCAAGCTGTTGATTATTTCTTCTCTAAAACTGTAATAAAAAGACAGCTAACTAGGACTGAAGTGTTGCTCAGTGGCAGAGTGCTTCCCAGCATGTACAGAAGGCCATGTGTTGAATATCCAGTACCACCAAAAAAAGAACAGCTAAGTGAACATAGTTCAAATTTTGTTTTTGTTTTGGCAGCAATTACAAAACCTATAGTGAACTATTGCTCCTACACACCTTTCTAAATGCCTTTTAACATCTCCTTTAAGATGAATAGTAAGCATGAAAACATCAGAGTCTAAAACAATTCTGACTCAAATCATGGCAACCCAAACTTTGGTTTACATACTATTATCAATTAAATAAAATTAAATAAAGATACGATTTTCACTATAAAATTTCTCACTTTTGGAACATGAGGATTAAATTCCACAGCTCTATGAATTGCTTCCACAGCATTAATTTCTGCTGTGCTTAATCCTCTTCTGGAGGCTGTTTCTGGAGAGAATCTGTAAGAAAAAAACACAAAATGAAGAAATGAATAACAAAAGAAAAAAAAAATATGGATTTAGACCATAATATAGTTCTCTAAATCAAAGGATTCTGGAAATGACTAAATTCAAAACCAGATAACTACTAAGAATGATAGTTAAAGCCTTCTGGTTCAAAATATAAAAAACAAGAAAGCATAAGGAATGAAAATTTTCAAACTTAGGTAGAGAAAGCATTCAGAAGTTCGTTGAAGGCACACTAGGGAAAGGTAAGAAATTCCACACAGGGACATCCAGAGAATCTCATGAAATATAAGTATATTCATATCAAATTTTTTATCTGAGAAGAAATAAACTATAATACTTCATTCTAATTAATATCAAGGCATAGTAATATAAAGTGAAAAACAATGGCCACCATTTGATTAGTCTCTGATTTTCTTTTTTTGAGACACTGTACCCAACCAGTTTCTGAATATCTTACCTGCAGAATAAAGAAAATTCACTAAGAGCAGTCAAAAACACAAGGAAAACAGAATAACACAATCCTAATATAAGAACAGACAACATGAAACCTATTTATCTATCATACTGCTTACTTATTAAAGCTATTATTTATCTGTACTTTCTTTCTAGATACTGGTTTAGGCACTCCATAATTACGTAATCCTCATACAACCACCCTACAGTACTATTCTCATTTTACAGATGAGGAAAAGACTCAAAATAATTAACCTAGCAAAAATCCTACAGCTAGTATATTATAAAGTTTAAATTTAAGTCTCAGTTTATTTAGCTCTAAAAATCTCTCTCCACTACCCAAAGTGAGAAGCCTCAAAGTCACAAAGGATCAAAGGTTATTTAGAAGAAAGCAGAGAGGAAGATCATAGTTTTAAAAGTCAGTAGAGGTAAAACGTAATATTGAAATTAGCATTCTTCTCAAATAATTGTAGTTTTCTACTTGCCCAGTATGCACAAGGCCCCAGGTTCAATCCCTAGTACTGAAAATAAATAAATAACAAAAATGAATCAAATAATTAGTTTTCATAACTACTTACTTATCTGAAACAGTCCTTGTTTTCAACAGTGCTGCTGTATAACAGATTGCTGCTGACTTTGGAAGGCTTATATCTGAAATAATAATTTGAATTCAGATAAAAATTACAAAAATGTGTTAACATAATATTTTCATAACAATAACTCATAATACAAATTCAACACATGTCATATAGTAGCAGAAGCCACCTGGACACATAGTTGGAAGACCTGAGTTTTGAATTCTGATTCTTCTATTTATTAGTTATGTATCCTTGAACCAATAGCAACTTCTTTGATCTTAGTTTTCTCAAGACAGAATGGTACTTTCTGACAGATGAAATTATGTCTATTAAAGCCCTCCACACAATGGTGACAAGTACTCAACAAATGTTTATAATAACTTTTTTACAGTAAGACTGTTCATGGAGAAAGCCACTGTATAATTAGTACTATGCAAAAACTCCACCTATTCATAGAGTAAAACTAAGATTAGAAAAAAATTACTAGTTAAATCCAGGTTGATACAACCAAGGATGATTTTTACTTTTTCTTTTTCCTAAATGAAAAATAAATTAATCTGGACCTATAAATAAACAATATAAACCCTTTTTAAAACGAATGTCTGAAATATTGTTATCAAAAGAGTAAAATTTAGAACTTGTTGATGATTTCAGTTCCAGAGTTACACTAGCAAATGGAGAAGTAAATTTGGAAGGAAGTAAGTTTGGCTTCAACTACTTAAGGATTCTAGAATGGAAAAAACTGGGATTCATGAAAACTGAAAACACAGAAGCAAATCAACTTAGACAGACTTTACTTGTTTTATTTTTAACGAATCAGACCCTATTCTGATTTTTTAATACTCAGGCTCTATACTTGGGTTCAGCACAAATGTAAGTGAGCCATGCATCCAGTAAGTTACATATGGAAGGAATTTCTAAAAAATGTCTCCATGAGCCCAACGTTATTCTGAAGCACTGCCTAAGAATTCCAGATGTTTAAAAGAAATAAACTTTTCTTTCAAGTATAACACATTTCAAACTTCCAAGTCATGGGGATTCCTAAGCTAATGGGTAAGAATCTACAACAGGACAAGTGTGAATAAGTGACTTATATGTGTTTTGTTATAATGAAAGATATCACCAGAAATATTACGATTGTCAAGAAGTGAAAACTTGTGGTTAAAAACTGAAGTCTAGGGCTGCAGTTGTAACTCAGCGGTAGAGCGCTTGCCTTGTACGTGTGAGGCACTGCGTTTGAGTCCCAGCACCACATATAAATAAGCAAATAAAATAAAGGTCCCATCAATAATTTAAAAACAAACAAACAAACAATTAAAAAAAAACGAAGTCTTACTCTGAGTGAGAAAGTTTATGTATCTTTAAAATTTTCCCAATTCCGGGCTAGGGTTGTGGCTCAATGGTAGAGCATTTGCCTAGCATGTGGGAGGCACTGGGTTTGATCCTCAGCACCACATATAAATAAATAAAATAAAGGTCCATTGACAACTAAAAGAAAAAAAAAAGTTAAAAAAAAATTCTCCCAATTCTACTTGTGGTAAACTGTCTATAGTACAATAATAAAAATAACCAACATAGATTGAATTATTGTTATGGGAAGACTAATGAACAAAGAAGAATACCTGGGTTTAAATTCAGGATTGTCACTTACTAGTTGGGAGATACCCAATATTTAACCTTCTTAAATGTTAGTTTCCCAATTTAGTAACTCGAAGGAATAAAAACACTTGTCCTACCATCTTACAAGATTAGTATAAGGATCAGATGAGATTAAAATTGTGCTTTTGTAACTAAAAAACATTATAAATGTTATTAACCCTTTTTTAATTTTTATTTTTATTGGTTGTTTTCCCTCTCTACCCCATCTGCTGTTGTTTAATTCTCTCCCTTTTTTTTTTTTTTTGTTCCCTTTCCCCTCACAAACTCTTATATATTATTTTGTGTAACAATGAGGGTCTCCTTCCATTTCCATACAGTTTCCCTTCTCTCTCCCCCCACTCGTCTCTGTTTAATGTTAATCTTTTCCTCATGCTCTTCTTCCCTGTTCTTTTCTTAGTTGCTCTCTTTATATCAAAGAAGACATTTGGCATTTGTTTTTTAAGGATTGGCTAGCTTCACTTAGCATAATCTGCTCTAATGCCATCCATTTCCCTACAAAATCCATGATTTTGTTGTTTCTTAGTGCTGCGTAATACTCCATTGTGTATAAATGCCACATTTTTTTTATCCATTCATCTATTGAAGGGCATCTAGGTTGATTCCAGAGTCTAGATATTGTGAATTGTGCTGCTATGATCATTGATGTGGCAGTATCCCTATAGTATGCTCTTTTAAGGTCCTCAGGGAATAGACCGAGAAGGGCGATAACTGGGTCAAATGGTGGTTCCATTCCCAGCTTTCCCAGGAATCTCCATACTGCTTTCCATATTGGCCGCACCAATTTGTAGTCCCACCAGCAATGTACAAGTGTACCCTTTTCCCCACATCCTCGCCAGCACTTATTGTTGTTTGACTTCATAATGGCTGCCAATCTTACTGGAGTGAGATGGTATCTTAGGGTGGTTTTGATTTGCATTTCTCTGACTGCTAGAGATGGTGAGCATTTTTTCATGTACTTGTTGATTGATTGTATGTCATCCTCTGAGAAGTGTCTGTTCAGGTCCTTGGCCCATTTGTTGATTGGGTTATTTTTTATCTTATTGTTTAATTTCTTGAGTTCTTTGTATACTCTGGATATTAGGGCTCTATCTGAAGTGTGAGGAGTAAAAATTTGTTCCCAGGATGTAGGTTCCCTATTTACCTCTCTTATTGTTTTTCTTGCTGAGAAAAAACTTTTTAGTTTAAGTAAGTCCCATTTGTTTATTCTTGTATTTAACTCTTGGGCTATGGGCGTCCTATTAAGGAATTTGGAGCCCGACCCCACAATATGTAGATCGGAGCCAACTTTTTCTTCTATCAGGCACAGAGTCTCTGATTTGATATCAAGCTCTTTGATCCATTTTGAATTAACTTTTGTGCATGGCGAGAGAATGGGGTTCAGCTTCATTTTGTTGCATATGGATTTCCAGTTTTCCCAGCACCATTTGTTGAAGATGCTATCCTTTCTCCATTGCATGCTTTTAGCGCCTTTATCAAATATAAGAAAGTTGTAATTTTGTGGATTGGTCTCTGTGTCCTCTATTCTGTACCATTGGTCCACCTGCCTGTTTTGGTACCAGTACCATGCTGTTTTTGTTACTATTGCTCTGTAGTACAGTTTGAAATCTGGTATCGCTATACCTCCCGATTCACACTTCCTGCTTAGAATTGCTTTTGCTATTCTGGGTCTTTTATTTTTCCATATGAATTTCATGATAGCCTTATCTATTTCTACAAGAAATGCTGTTGGGATTTTGATTGGCATTGTGTTGAACCTGTAGAGAACTTTGGGTAATATCGCCATTTTGATGATGTTGGTTCTGCCTATCCATGAACAGGGTACATTTTTCCATCTTCTAAGATCTTCTTCTATCTCTCTCTTTAGGGTTCTGTAGTTTTCATTGTATAAATCTTTCACCTCTTTTGTTAGGTTGATTCCCAAGTATTTTATTTTTTTTTTGAGGATATTGTGAATGGGGTGGTTTTTCTCATTTCCATTTCAGAAGTTTTGTTGCTGATATACAGGAATGCCTTTGATTTATGCGTGTTGATTTTATATCCTGGCACATTGCTGAATTCATTTATTAGTTCTAGTAGTTTCTTTGTGGACCCTTTTGGGTCTTCTAGGTATAGGATCATGTCATCTGCAAATAGTGATATTTTAAGTTCTTCTTTTTCTATTTTTATGCCTTTAATTTCTTTTGTCTGTCTAATTGCTCTGGCTAGTATTTCAAGGACTAAATTAAATAGAAGTGGTGAGAGAGGGCATCCCTGTCTTGTTCCAGATTTTAGCGGGAATGCCTTCAGTTTTTCTCCATTTAGAATGATGTTAGCCTGAGGCTTAGCATATATAGCTTTTACAATGTTGAGGTAAGTTCCTGTTATCCCTAGTTTTTCTAGTGTTTTGAACATGAAGGGATGCTGTATTTTGTCGAATGCTTTTTCTGCATCTATCGAGATGATCATATGGTTCTTATTTTTAAGTCTATTGATGTGGTGAATAACATTTATTGATTTCCGTATATTGAACCAACCTTGCATCCCAGGGATGAATCCTACTTGATCATGGTGCACAATTTTTTTGATATGCTTTTGTATTTGATTTGCCAGGATTTTATTGAGAATTTTTGCATCTATGTTCATTAGAGATATTGGTCTGCAGTTTTCTTTCTTTGAAGTGTCTTTGTCTGGTTTCGGGATCAGGGTGATGTTGGCCTCATAGAATGAATTTGGAAGAGCTCCTTCTTTTTCTATTTCTTGAAATAGCTTGAAAAGTATTGGTATTAATTCTTCTTTGAAGGTTTTGTAAAACTCCGCTGTATACCCATCCGGTCCAGAGCTTTTCTTGGTTGGTAGTCTTTTGATGGCTTCTTCTATTTCTTCCTTTGTTATTGGTCTGTTTAAATTGTGTGTGTCTTCCTGACTCAATCTGGGCAAATCATATGACTTAAGAAATTTATCGATATCTTCACTGTCTTCTATTTTATTAGAATATAGGGTTTCAAAATACTTTCTAATTATCTTCTGTATTTCCGTAGTGTCTGTTGTGATATTGCCTTTTTCATCCCGTATGTTAGTAATTTGAGCTGTCTCTCTTCTCTTCGTTAGCATGGCTAAGGGTCTGTCGATCTTATTTATTTTTTCAAAGAACCAACTTTTAGTTTTATCAATTTTTTCAATGGTTTTTTTTGTTTCAATTTCATTGATTTCCGCTCTGATTTTGATTATTTCTTGTCTTCTGCTATATTTGCTGTTGTTTTGCTCTTCCTTTTCTAGGGTTTTGAGATGTAGTGTGAGTTCATTTATTTGTTGGTTTTTTCTTTTTTTTGAGGAATGAACTCCAGGAAATGAATTTCCCTCTTAAAACTGCTTTCATTGTGTCCCATAGATTCCGGTATGTTGTGTCTGAATTGTCGTTTATCTCTAAGAATTTTTTGATTTCCTCCTTTATGTCTTCTGTAACCCATTGATCATTCAGTAACATACTGTTTATTTTCCATGTGATGCAGGATTTTTCCTTCCTTCTTTTATCATTGATTTCCAGTTTCATTCCATTATGATCAGATATGGTGCATGGTATTATCTCCACACCTTTATATTTACTAAGAGTTGCCCTATGGCATAATATATGATCTATCTTTGAGTAAGATCCATGTGCTGCTGAGAAGAACGTGTATCCACTTGATGATGGTTGATATATTCTATATATGTCGGTTAAGTCTAGGTTATTGATTGTGTCATTGAGTTCTATAGTTTCTTTATTCAGCTTTTGTCTGGAGGATCTGTCTAATGGCGAGAGCGGTGTGTTGAAGTCACCCATTATTATTGTGTTGTGGTCTATTTGACTCTTGAACTTGAGGAGAGTTTGTTTTATGAACGTTGCTGCACCATTGTTTGGTGCATACAAACTGATAATTGTTATGTCTTATTGGTGGATGGTTCCTTTTAACAGGATATAGTGTCCTTCTTTAGCTTTTGATTAACTTAGGTTTGAAGTTGATTTTATTTGATATGAGTATGGCCACTCCTGCTTGCTTCCGAGGGCCATGTGAGTGGTATGATTTTTCCCAACCTTTCACCTTCAGCCTGTGTATGTCTTTTCCTATCATATGAGTCTCCTGAAAGCAGCATATTGTTGGATTTGTTTTTTTGATCCAGGTTACTAGCTTGTGTCTCTTGATTGGTGAGTTTAGTCCATTAACATTTAAGGTTACAACTGAAATATGATTTGTACTTCCAGTCATGTTTATTTATTTATTTATTTTAGTTTGGCTAGTTTTTTACTTTTTGGTTATTTTCCTCCCCCTTTACTGAGATACCTCCCGCTGTTAGTTTTGGGCACTATTTTTCCATTCCTCTTCTTGTAGAATTTTGCCCAAAATGCTTTGTAGTGCTGGTTTTCTGGCTGCGAATTCTTTTAGCTTTTGTTTATCCTGAAAGATTTTAATTTCATTGTCAAATCTGAAGCTTAATTTTGCTGGATACAGTATTCTTGGTTGGAATCCATTATTTTTCAGCGTTTGAAATACATTGTTCCAGGATCTTCTCGCTTTCAAAGTCTGTGATGAAAAATCAGCGGTTAACCTAATTGGTTTACCCCTGAATGTAATCTGCCTCCTTTCTCTCGTAGCTTTTAATATTCTCTCCTTGTTCTGTATGTTGGCTATCTTCATAATTATATGTCTTGGAGTTGGTCTATTACGGTTTTGGATGTTTGGGGTCCTGTAGGCTTCCAGGATTTGGCAATCCATTCCATCTTTCATCTCTGGGAACTTTTCTAGGATTATTTCATTTAATAAGTTGTCCATTCCTTTGGTTTGAACCTCTGTGCCTTCTTCTATCCCAATGACTCTCAAATTTGGTTTTTTTATGAGGTCCCATATCTCTTGGATAGATTGCTCGTGGGATTTAAGCATCTTTTCTGTGTTGACTATATTCTTTTCAAGTTGATAAACTTTGTCTTCATTATCTGATGATCTGACTTCTACTTGATCTAGTCTATTTGTAATATTCTCGTTAGTGTTTTTAATCTGGTTTATGGTTTCTTGCATTTCTAAAATTACTGTTTGGTTTTTTTTTAAGATCTCTATCTCCTGGTAAAGTTCATTCTTTGCAGTTTGAATTTGTTTGTTTAGTTCATTTTCAAAATATACTTTCAATGCTTGGACTTGCTGTCTCATGTCTTCTCTAATATTCCGTTCCATCTGAGTTAGGTATGCCTTGATTTCCTTCCCTGTCCATGTTTCTGATGCTTCTAGGTCCTCCTGTAGATTTAAGTTGTCCTGCATTATCTGTAATCCTTTTTTCCCTTGTTTTTTCATGTTGTTCACGTTACTTTCCAGCTCTGTTTGACTGCTTTGTAACTGCTTTCTCCTATACATTTGTTTTGGCTTTGTATATCTCTGTTGTCTCTCCTTTGTGGTGGGAGATTATGCCTAGAGATGTTGGGCTTTATTGTACTTTAGAGCTGGTTCATTCAATTTATAAAGGGCTTCCGGATTTTGTATGCATATAGTGATTTGTTGTTTGTTCTTAGGACTTTAGGTTAGGTGCTATGAAGGTATAAGGGTTAGTATGTCTTGGCTACTTTAGAAGATTGCTCTACTGAAGGGGGATACTAACCGTCGATTGGATCAGGGTGTTGTTAGTAGCTAGATATTTAGGAGCACTATAGATGGCCTCGAAACATTCACCTATTTGCATTTAGACAGTTACACGAAATGGAGGATGTAATGCTTGGGATGAAAGTTGGGGGGAAGGGAAAGGAAAGTGTTCTTGAAAAGAAAGAAGGAGAGGGAGATTGATAGCATAGAGGAGAATGGACAGAACAATAAAACTTGGAAGGGGAAAGAAAGAGGGGAAAAGGGAGAGAAAAATTAAAATAAAATAAAATAAGAAATAAAATTAGGTCTTAGCGATACATTTTCTTCTCTTCCCGTAGGCAAAGCTGTGCCCTCCGGGCTGAGTTTTGCCCTCAATGTGTCGACAGTCTCAATCCTGTTGGTCCAGAGCCGTTTCACTTCTACAGCCCCTCCTCCCCTTCCTCCTGCCAGCCAGCCAGGTCCTGCTCACCGGAGGCGGTTCCCCAGGGATCTGGTTACACTTTCAGCCCCACCGCGTGCCCTATGTCCCGAACAACTGAGCACTCTCTCTGTCATTCATCTAAGCCCCAGTGCTGTGGAGCTGTGGTCTGGGAGTCAATAGTTTAATTTTTCCGGACCCCTTTGGTGGGCACACCCTCGGAAGCTGGCGGCTAAGACCTTTGGTGTCGCCTCTGGTGGTAATGGGAGTTGGGGATCGAGGATCCCCTCTGCTTCCCTCAGCCCCTACAATCACGACCACTCCGCTGGTGGTAGGAGGAGTTGGGGGTCTGGAGTGTCCTCTTTTTCCCTCCTCCCCTACCGTCACACCCTCTCAGTTGGCGGTTGGGGGAGTTGGGGGTGGGGAGTCTTCTCTGCTTCCCTCCACCCCTACAGTCACGCCCACGTCACTGGCATTAGGGGGAGTTGGGGGTCGGGAGTCCCTTGGCCCTTACGGTCGCGCCCACGGAGAGATTTTTGAAGTTTCCCGGTTGTTTGTATCTGATGTGGGTGGGAGTCACACACCTGCTAAAGTAGATTCCGCTGGGAAGGAATCTCGTTGGCCAAACTTTGGTGACTTCCCCTCTCTGCTATGGCGGGCCCCTGGCTCCTTGCCGGAGTGTCCGAAGGGAGGGGTGGAACTGGCTTGTCTCTGGTCTGACTCAATCTCTGGTTTTAGTTCCCAGTTCGCTATTTCATAAATGCTTGGTTAGATTCCCTTCATGTCGCCTCCTGAGCCGGGCGGGCGGGGCTGTTCACGGAGCCGAGTGGGCGGGAGGGCCATTCGCCGGGTGGGCGGGGCCGTTAGCAGAGCCGGGAGGGCAGGGGGCCATCTGCCGGGCCTGGCGCGGACCCTTCTCACTGCGCCGCCAGGGGCCACTTGCAGAGCCGGGCAGGCGGCGGCCGCGGGACTGGACCTCTGCGCCGCGTGGTCAAGATTCACTCGTCTGGGACAAACTGTCACCTCTAATAAACTTACTAATTCCCAGCAGGTCTCCTTTCAGCGGAATTTTGCTAGAAGCTCCTCAGTAGGTAGAATTTAGGTGTATTAATGGGTCTTTCTGATCCCGTTAATGTGGAGATACTGAAAGTGCTGCTTCCTCGCTGGCCGCCATGTTGGATCCCCTTTTTTTTTTTAGGAATTAGGAATTAAACCTAGAAGCCTTTACTACTGAGCTACATCCCCATGCTTTTTCTTTTAACTTAAATCTTTTTTTTAATCTTTATTTATTTATCTTTATGTGGTGCTGAGGCTCAAACCCAGTGCCTCACATATACTAGGCAAGCACTCAACCACTGAGCCTCAACCCTAGCCCCCCGTACCTTTATTGTTCTTTTTATTATTCTCAGACACGGTCTTGCTAAGTTATTCAGGCTGGCCTCAAATTTGTGATTCTTTTGCCTCAGCTTTCCAAGTAGCTAGGATTATAGACATGCAACCCCATATGTGGTTTCTGAATTAGTCTTTATAAATACTGTTAAGCAACTTCTGTTAGCTTTCCTTGATATTCAAATGAGTATAAAAAAGAGGCACCCTACTATGTGCACAGCATTTACACTTTTCCAATTATCTCATGCAAGTCATGCTGTCTTCAATGTAACCAATGTTCATCTGTTTATACATTTCACTAAAGTGTAAATCCTACGATGATGAAATCCATTTCTTCTTGTTCACATTTTATTCCAAAGTGCTTCATTCCTATTAGACACTCAATAAACCAAATTTTTTTTCTTTTGGTGGTGGTGCTGGAGATCGAACCCAGAGCCTTGTGTGTACAAGGCAAGCACTCTACCAACTGAGCTACATCCCCAGCCCAAAAGAATAAATCTTGACAGAAGAAAAAGTTCCTCCTTGTAGGCTTTTGCTACCAAAAGTCCTGATAAAAAAAGATACTTAATAGCAATTTGTACTTACACATACTAAATACTGACTGGTAAGAATAGAGAAAATTAGAGAAATACTAGAATGGTATCATATTTATGAATACATAATTTAAAAGAAAATCCTTTAACATACTATCAATTAAGACAAAAAACTCACCATCATATTTTGCTAGGACTGCCTGAACATCTGCATAGGCCTGTAATTCTAAAAGTGATTCTAAGAGATTTTCATGGATGTTCAACATGGTAAGAGGAGGAAATTCTTTCATCAACTGTATATTGAAAGAAAAAAAAGAGATTAAAATTAGAACAGAGGAACTTTCACTAAAGTTGAAATTCTTTTGCTTCTTTACAAAACTGTAGAGACTCAGTCCTTAAAAAAATGTATGTATATTAGGAGTTGGGGCTGTAGTTCAGTGGCAGAATGCTTGCCTAGCATGTGTGAGGCACTGGGTTTGATCCTCAGCACCACATAAAAATAAACAAAGGCATTCTGTCCATTTACAACTCTAAAAAACAGATTTTAAAAAAAGTATGTGTATTAAATAAATAGCATTATAAAACCCACCAATTAAAAAACAGTAATTCTGTATCAAAATAACTGGTAACTTCAACTACATTTTATTTTTAGAGGAATCCATATAACAGTTTCAGTTATCAAACTTACTTACATCTCTCATTATTTTCACTGCTTCTCTTATTCTTCCTAATTTTCTTGCACACATTGCCAATCTTCTTTTAATATATACTAGCACATTGGTATCTCTCCCTATATAAAAAAACAAAAAGTAACACAATATTACTTTCATATTATGGCCTGTTATTTCACTAGAATATTATTTCTTAATTGCTTATCCTACAAGATTCAATTAAAATTAAATTGTGTCAAGATGGAAGAATATTTAATGATTACTGAATCTGGGTGAAGAATATTTTGAATAGGAATCTCTTACATTTGTTTATGCTTGAAGTTTTATGTGTTAAAAATTTATATTATACACACACACACACACAAAATATATATATATTGTGTGTGTGTGTGTGTGTGTGTGTGTGTGTGTGGTGCTGAGGATTGAACCCAGGACCTTGTGCCTGGGAGGCAAGCATTTTACCAAGTGAGCTATATCCTCAGCCCCTAAATGTTTAAAATATATGTTGAATTACTTTTGCCTCTAATAGTAAGTAATCTGAGTACAGTATATAGAATGTAATTTGTGTTTGAATAACAAATTTAATTTAATATTGCTGGAAAAGAAATACATATATTAAAGGGAAAATATAACACTAGCCTATTATTTTAAGTTTCTGCATAAATAATCTATAGTTTTAATATTCTCTATTTTTTTAACTGAAAAACTCAAAATGTTCAAAGTACAATTTCTATGACTAATGTAAACTTTTTATTAACAACTAATAACAAACTATAAAACTACTTCTAAGAAGGACTAACAAAATTCTGTAACATGTTTAATTTTAATTTTATATTATGTAAAGACAAATGGCATGTTTTTTGTTTTGGTCAGTATTGAGGATTGAATCCAGAGCTCTCACATGGTAGGAAAATTTTCTATCACTGACCTACATCCCTGGCCCTTTTTATTTTTTGTTTTGAGACAGGGTTTCACTAAGTTGCCCTAATTTGCCCTCAAATTTGTGATCCTTCTGCTTGACCCCGAGTTGACTTTATTACAGACGTAGTTTCATAAGTTCCAGTCTGCAAAGCTAAATATTCCTGCAGTTGTGTGTAATAACATACATTAATGAAACATACTGTAAACATCATATTTAACTTTGAGAGAAAACATTATCTAACTTTTAATTTCCACAAACAAAAGATTTAGAACTTAACTGCTAACGGATAATGCATTACATAAACATATTTCATTTACTTTCTGTTATCCACCCAAATCATAAAACTAAAATCCTCTGGCCATAAAAGGTAACAAGCAGGAGCAACATTCCTAATTCTAACATCTCTGGTAAAGTATCTCAATCATAATCAGAAGAGTATCCTTAAAGATTAGAGAGACCATTTGACCCAGTTATCACACTCCTCGGCATATCCCCAGAGGAATTAAAATCAGCATACTATAGTGATGTGGCCACATCAATGTTCACAGCAGCTCAATTCACAATACCCAAGCTATGGAACAAACCTAGGTGCCCTTCAAAGATGAATGGATAAAGAAAATGTAGTACATTGGATTGTTACTCAGCCATAAAGGAGGAGGAAATTATGGCACTTGCCAGTAAATGGATGAAACTAGAGACTATCATGCTGAGTGAAATAAGCCAATCCCAAAAACCCAAAGGCTGAATGTTCTCTCTGATATATAGATTGCTGATCCACAATGATAGGGGGGAAGGAGGAGTGGAGGTTCACTGAAATGGACAGAAGGAAGGGAGATGGGAATGGGATAATGAATTGGACATAACTTTCCTATGTTTAAATATGAATACACAGTCAGTATAACTTCACATCACATATAACCACAAAAATGGGAAGTTATACTCCATGTTATGAATGATATGTCAAAATACACTCTACTGTCAAAGAACAAATTAAAAAAAAAAAAAAGGAATGGAAAGACTTCAGTTGTTGTGGCTAATCTGATCCCAAACACAATCACAGGAAAAAAAAATTAACCAAAGAAAGAACCAACGTTACATATAAGGTTGGATTTTATGTTAAGAATCAGATGGTATGACTGGATGTGGTGGTGAACACCTGTAATCCCAGCAATTTGGGAGACTGTGGCAAGAGGATTTTAAGTTTGAGGTCAGCCTCAGCAAGTTAGTGAGACCCTATCTCAAAATTAAAAATAAAAAGGACTGGGGATATAACTCAGTGGTAAACCAACCCTGGGTTCAATCCCCAGTTCCAAAAAAAAATAATAATAATAATAATCAGAGCCACTCCTTGATGCTATATATAGATAACAGAGTCTGAAGAGCAAACAAAATGATGTCCTGGGTTGGGGATGTAACTCAAGGGTTCAGTATTTGCCTTGTATGTGCAAGTCTCTGGGTTTGACCCCAGCAGCAGAAAAAAAAAAAAGCCTCTATTACTGAGTAAGGATGAAGATAAAGAAAATACCATCAAAAGGATCTTCTCAATCAATACTAATAATCACGAGAATGCTCTCCTAAATACTAAATAGTTTTATATTTATGTTTCTCTAATAACCAGGTGTTCAATTCTTATATGAAATAAATTACCATTAAGTCTCAAAACAGCATATTTCCTTTCAATAACCAGAGCAAATTTAATCCTTTTCACAAGCTCTTTCTGGCTATTACGTATTTCTGTCTTACTGGCTTATACGTATTAATAAATTAGTTAAGTAAAATTTAGCTAATCTACAAGCACTGTTTTTATTATTGGTGGTCTGTGTTTTAAACATGCAAGATCCAATTATAGGTGCTAAAAGAGAGAAATAGAAGAAGATCTTAGAAGATGGAAAAATATACCCTGTTCATGGATAGGCAGAACTAACATCATCAAAATGGCGATATTACCAAAAGTTCTCTATAGGTTTAATGCAATGCCAATCAAAATCCCAAAGGCATTTCTTGTAGAAATAGAGAACGCAATCATGAAATTCATATGGAAAAATAAAAGACCCAGAATAGCAAAAACAATGCTAAGCAGGAAGTGTGAATCAGGCGGTATAGCGATACCAGACTTCAAACTATACTACAGAGCAATAGTAACAAAAACAGCATGGTACTGGTACCAAAACAGGCGGGTGGACCAATGGTACAGAATAGAGGACACAGAAACCAATCCACAAAACTACAACTATCTTATATTTGATAAAGGGGCTAAAAGCATGCAATGGAGGAAGGATAGCATCTTCAACAAATGGTGCTGGGAAAACTGGAAATCCATATGCAACAAAATGAAACTGAATCCCTTTCTCTCGCCATGCACAAAAGTTAATTCAAAATGGATCAAGGAGCTTGATATCAAATCAGAGACACGCCATCTGATAGAAGAAAAAGTTGGCTACGATCTACACTCGGTGGGGTCGGGCTCCAAATTCCTCAATAGGACATCCATAGCACAAAAGTTAATAACTAGAATCAACAAATGGGACTTACTCAAACTAAAAAGTTTTTTCTCAGCAAAAGAAACAATCAGAGAGGTAAATAGAGAGCCTACATCCTGGGAACAAATCTTTACTCCTCACACTTCAGATAGAGCCCTAATATCCAGAGTATACAAAGAACTCAAAAAATTAGACAATAAGAGAACAAACAACCCAATCAACAAATGGGCCAAGGACCTGAACAGACACTTCTCAGAGGAGGACATACAATCAATCAACAAGTACATGAAAAAATGCTCACCATCTCTAGCAGTCAGAGAAATGCAAATCAAAACCACCCTAAGATACCATCTCACTCCAGTAAGATTGGCAGCCATTATGAAGTCAAACAACAACAAGTGCTGGCGAGGATGTGGGGAAAAGGGTACACTTGTACATTGCTGGTGGGACTAAAATTGGTGCAGCCAATTTGGAAAGCAGTATGGAGATTTCTTGGAAAGCTGGGAATGGAGCCACCATTTGACCCAGCTATTCCCCTTCTCGGTCTATTCCCTAAAGACCTAAAAAGAGCATGCTACAGGGACACTGCTACATTGATGTTCATAGCAGCACAATTCACAATAGCAAGACTGTGGAACCAACCTAGATGCCCTTCAATAGACGAATGGATAAAAAAAATGTGGCATTTATACACAATGGAGTATTACTCTGCATTAAAAAATGACAAAATCATAGAATTTACAGGGAAATGGATGGCATTAGAGCAGATTATGCTAAGTGAAGCTAGCCAATCCCTAAAAAACAAATGCCAAATGTCTTCTTTGATATAAGGAGAGTAACTAAGAACAGAGTAGGGTCGAAGAGCATGAGAAGACGATTAACATTAAACAGGGATGAGAGGTGGGAGGGAAAGGGAGAGAGAAGGGAAATTGCATGGAAATGGAAGGAGACCCTCAGGGTTATACAAAAGTACATACAAGAGGAAGTGAGGGGAAAGGGAAAAATAATACAAGGGGGACAAATGAATGACAGTAGAGGGGGCAGAGAGAGAAGAGGGGAGGGGAGGGGAGGGGAGGGGGGATAGTAGAGGATAGGAAAGGCAGCAGAACACAACAGACACTAGTATGGCAATATGTAAATCAATGGATGCGTAACTGATGTGATTCTGCAATCTGTATATGGGGTAAAAATGGGAGCTCATAACCCACTTGAATCAAAGTGTGAAATATGATATATCAAGAACTATGTAATGTTTTGAACAACCAACAATAAAAAATTAAAAAAAAAAAAAAACATCAGAGAAATAAAACATAGACCAAAGAGAGAAAGGTAGCTTGGGGGGGGCGGGGGGTTCTTATGGATATAAGGCACAAATAAAGATTTTCAGAATAACAAAAAAAAAAAGGACAGTAAAAATCAGTTCAAATTTGCTTACTCAGTTGAGCTTCATGCTGAGGACTCTGGTGCTGGCACTGCTGTGATCGCCTATAAATTGTTTCTCCTGCCTTGAGTGCCTGTTTAAATAACCTTTCAGCATCTACAATAGTGGTTGCTTCTTCCTCGGCCAGTAGAACATATGCAGTGGCACAGCTATGAAAAAAAGCAAGCAAAGCAATTTGAAATAAAACTGTAAGGGCAAGTATTTTCTCTTGGGTATGTCCTTTTGCTCTAAACCAAGTTTCCCTTAGCTTTACCTATACTTTCCATCTCTTGGGGGAAAAAACAAAAACAAAAACCAACTTTATTAGATGTTTTAATTTCTTGGGGACATACTAGTATATTCATTATGTCTAATTCCACAATTTTTTTCAGTCTCTTATGTTTCTCTTCTATTCTTTCTTCTTTTTTACCTCCATGGTCTGACTCTGTGTTTTCTTTTTGTACAAGGGGAGAAAAAGGAAGATATATAAAGAATTGTATGAAAAGTAGTTCTGGCTACCATATACTACAGTGATCAGACTTGCTCTTAGTCACTACATATTCTGTAATATCCAACTCCTGTGGGCAGCTATGAAAGACAGTGAAGTTTGGGAAGAGGGTCTCTATGCTAAAGAGACACCTTTCATATCTGACTCAAAAAAACATTCAGGACTAGGCTTTTCCTTCAAACGTGAGTATTCCCTCTGCATGTGGCTCTATCCTCCCTTGGACTTATGCATAGTAGAATGCAGCATACTTCCCTTGGTCTGAATTCTAGTTCTTCCTTCAAACTCCTACCCTCATTCCTTATACCCATGCTTACCTCAAGTTTTCTTTTATTCACCCTACTAAAACAGAGATTTTTCTTTGTATTAGCCAGTCAATGACTGGCTAATAACATAAATTCATTCTTATTTTTGGATAAAAGAAGAGAAGGAAAAAGTTTCCATTTTCTTATTTTGGTACTGGGGATTAAACCCAGGGTTACTTAACCATTAAGCCACATCCCTAGTTCTTTTTGGGACAGAGCCTTGTTATATTGCTGAGATTGGCTTTGAACCTGCAATTCTCCTTCCTCAGCCTCCCAAGTCACTGGGATTATAGGGCCGTGTGCCACTGCACCTACTTAAAGTTTCCCTTTTCATTTCCAGAAATAACAAGTACCTCTCTTTGGGGACCATGTCTTAGTTCTGATAATATAAGCCTACACTATCCAGAACAGTCAGTAGTCACATATACTTACTGAGCACTTAAAACACGGCTAGTCTGAACTGAAATGTGACATAAGTGTAAAACGCACACAGAATTTTGAAGACTGAGAAAAATATTAAAAATGTTTCAATAGAACAGTGTTTATCTCAACAAGATGAGAGACACTATTGGTAAAAAGTACAAGTGCAGGCATGAAACAAAAGTGATGGCTAGATAACTATCACCATCAATTAAGGTTGAGAAGAGTCTTTCAGATGGAAATGTAAATCATACCATTTAGGCAAATAATAGTCTAAATTAAAGTATTCAATAATTTCACTAATCAGCAATAATATCTCCTATATATTACGTGGATTTCTCTAAAATATTAGATATACTGCTGCTTTAAACACTAGGTATCCTGCCATTTCCAAAACCAATTCAAATGTTTTAAAATAACCATAATAAAAATACTTTTTAAAAGATCTAGATGGATAAAATTGATGCAGTTGAATCAAAATATAAACATTATTACTTATTTATTTTTGTGGTGCTGAGGATCAAACCTAGGGCCTTACAAATGCTAGGAACGGGCTCTACCACTGAGCTATATCCCCAGTCCCTCAAGATAATTTTAAATTACATTATAGTTGTATGGTATGAAGAGGTTTTTCTTCTCCTAAAGCCTTCTTGTATTTATTCTTGCACCTGAAGATGTTAATGCAATAAATTAATTATATGAATATCTAATGAATCTTACTTTGGGGAATGTAATTTTCTTAAGTTGAGGTTAAATTCACATACCAAAATCACAGTTTAAAGTGTTTTAAAGTGTATAATTCAGAGACTTTTAATAAGTTCTCAAGGTTGTACAATTACCAGCACTACATAATTCTAAAACATTTTCAACACCCCTAAAAGAAATCCATGTCTCCCTAACTCCTGACAATCATAAATCTATTTTCTCACTTGATAGTATCCTTTATTGCATAAAAGATTCTAACTGATGAATGTAATTTATTTTTTTCATATTACTTGTGTTTTTTGGATCCTATTTAATAAACCACTGTAAAATCCAAAGTTGGGGAGATTTGTTCCATATTTTGTTTTCTTCTTCCTTCCTTCCTTTATTTACTTATTTATTTAGGAGGTGCTTATCTATCTATCTATCTATTTTAGAGGTGCTGGGAGCAAACCCAGAAGCAATTTACCATAAGCTACATCTCCAGTAGTCCCTTCAGAGTTAGCTGGAATTATAGGCATATGCTATCAGCCCATTTTGATCTGTGTTAGGTCAAACATGTTAGGTCCTTGATTAATTTTGAATTAATTGGTATGTATATGTGAGGTAAAGAGTTCAATTTCGTACTTTTATATGTGGCTATCTAGTTGTTCCAGCATAATCTGTTTTCTAAAAAGACTACTTTGCTCTCCACTGAATATAGTGGCACCTGGGTCAAAAATCAGTTGACCACAGATATCAACTTATTTCTGGATTCTCAATTGAAATCCATTGATTTAGGTTTCTATGTTTATGATTTAATTGCTGTAGTTTTGTAGTAAGATTGAAAATCTTGAAGTGTGAGTCCTCCAACTTTGCTTTTCTCTTTCAAGACTGTTTAGGCTATGCAGAGTCACTTGCAATTCCACATGAATTTTAGGACCAGCTTGTCCATTTCTGCAAAAATAGTAATTGCAATTTTGATAGGACTGCACTGAATCTATAGATCAACTTGGGAAGGACAGTGATGTCATAATAATATTTAAGTCATCCAATCCATGAAGAGAGGATGTCTTTCCATTTAAGTTGTCTTTAACTATCTGAACAGTGTATTAAAGCTTTCAGTGTACAAGTCTTGCATATTCTTGGTTATATTTATTCCAAAGTATCTTAATAATTTTGATGCTATTGTAAATGGTATTATGTTATGATCTGAATTTGAAATGTCCCCCAAAGGAACATGTGTTGAAAGTTTGGTCCCCAGTAATGTTCAGAGATGGGGTTCTTGGAACTGATTATTAGATCATGATGGCTCTGACCTCATCAATTTATTACACCATTAAAGGATTCATAGCTGAATGGACTACTGAGAGGTGGTGGAAAGTGTAGGAGATAGAACCTAGGTGAAGGGAGTAAGTTCTTGAGGATGTGCTCTTGACTATATCTTGTTCCCAGTCTCAGTTCCTATTTTTCCCTCTGCTTCTGGCTACTTATGAATTGAGCTGTTATCTTCTGCCATTTCCTTCTGCTATGATGTTCTGCCTTACCTCAGGACCAAAGCAGTGGAGCAGGTCAACCATGCACTGAAACATCAGAAATCATGAGCCAAAATATAGCTATCCTCCTTTAAGTTTTTTTTGTCATAGGGATAAAAAACTAACACAGATTTGTTTTCTTGGTTTCCTTTCCAGATTGTCCAATGCTAATGTACAGAAATGCAGCTCATTTTTTATATTGAGCTTGTCTCTTCAAACATTTTTGAAATCTTTATTGGCTCTAGTAGTTTTTTGTTTTGTTTTGGTACTAGGAATTGAACCCAGGGGCACTTAACCACTGAGCCACATCCTCAGCCCAGCTGAGGTAGTTTTGTTTGTGTCAATTAAGATTTTCTACATATAAAGATAATGTTATCTATGAATAGATAGTTTTACTCCCTCATTTCTAATTAGGATGACATTTTTTTCTTTTTCTTGCTCAACATCCCTAACTAAAACCTCTACTGCTATGTTAAATGAAATGGTAAGGGCAGATATCCTTGCCTTATTTCTGATCTTAGAAAACTTTCAGTTTTTCATTAATCAGTACATAGTTATCACTGGGTTTTTCATAGATACTTTTTTATCAGATTGATAAAATCTAACACCAATATATGATGATAACATTTTAAAAATTAGGACTGTAAGGTGTTAGATTTTGTCAAATACTTTTTCTGCATCAATTGAGATAATCATGGTTTTTATCCTTTGTTCTATTAATGTGATGCATTAGATTAACTGATTTCCACGTTTTTATCATGAAAGGGTGTTGGATTTTGTCAAATGCTTTTTCTGCATCACTTGAAATGATCAATGATTTCTCTCCTTTATTCTGTTAAGGTGATAATATCACATTGATTAATTTTTATATATTGAGCCATTCTTACATTCTAATAATAAACACCACTTGGTCAGGGAATATAATACTTTCAATATATTGCTGGATTTTATATGTTAGTATTTTCTTTTGGGACACTTTTCTTCAAATATTATTTTCTGCCTTTCTCTCTCTTCTCTAGGACTCACATTATGTATAAGCTAGTATGTTTGACATTGTCCCACAGGTCTCTCTTAGAGACTTCATTTTCTTTATTTCTTTATTAACTTTTGTTATTTCAATTTATTTTTTCTTGCTCCTTAGATAATATCAATTGAAATAACAAAAGTTAATTGATTCTTCTGTATGCTTAAATCTACTACTGAACTCACTACTAATTTTTTGTTCCCAGCAGAATTTTCAATTTGAGAATTTCCAGTTAGATTCTTTTTATTATCTCTTCCTCTTTATTTATATTATGTAATGGCAATACATCATTCTTATGGTTTTCATTAGCTCTTTGAACACATTTAAAATAATTTATTTAAAGTCTATTATAAAGTCCAAAGTCTAGGCTTCTTTAGGTGCAGTTTCTATAAATTTCTTTTCTTTCCTATGCTTTGCCCATATATATGTATATATATATATATATTTTTTTGTTTGTTTGTTTGTTTTGTTTTCTTTATAATGTTTCATTGAAAATGGGAAACCCTGATTATTATATTCTAAAAACTCTGGAAATAAGATTGTTTTGTACTCCATCTGTCATTGCTGTTTGTTGTAGTCGCTTGTTTAATGACTTCCCTGAACCAATTTTATAAAATTCACATTCTTAGTCATGTGGGGCAAATGAAGTGTGAGCTCTGTTAGCTTAGTAGTAAGTTAATGATTCGGCAGAGATTTCCTTAAACACTGAAACTCAAAAAAATCCCACAAAAAACAGAAGTTTTTGCAGATGGGCTGTGTGTATGTTGTATGTGCACACGCATACCAGGCATCTTTCAACTCTGCCTTAGTCTTTACTTCTTGCTTTCACACAACCTAAAGGTTAGCCAGACATGAGAGCTCAGGGCCTTTTCAAATATTTTCTTTTTCTAAAACTTTATTTATATATATATATATATATATATATATATATATACACATATATATATATATATATATATATATATATACACATATATATATATATATATATATATACATATATATATATATACACACACACACACACACACACACACACACACATATATATAAATATATTTTAGTTATTGATGGACCTTTATTTTATTCATTTATTTATATGTGGTGCTGAAAATCGAACCCAGTTCCTCACACATGCTAGGCAAGCACTCTACCACTGAGCCACAACCCCAGACCATTTTCAAGTCTTTTCTAAGCACATGTTCAACTCTGACCAAGCATAAGGCTTTGAGATTCCCAGGTATATGTGGGAGCTCTTCAGAGCCTTAATTCCCCAAAGTGTATCATTCTCCAGCCTTTCCTCATAAGCTTTCTAGCTTGTCTGTTTTTAGCCCCAGCTGTTATCCCTTGCCTCAGACAATAGTGACTAATGCAGTTACCTTTAAATGTTTTCAACAAACGTGCCCTATGTAGTTAATTCAGTTCTGAGAAATGTTCAAGTTAACTCAAATAAAGGCAAGTCCTTTCAGTTGGTCTTTCATGGAGCCACCACACAGGTTAAAACAACCACTGTTCTTTGATAAAATGATATGGATCTATACTTACAATGTGCACTACTGTCTTCAAGGTTAACACTGAGCTAGAGAGTAGATGATCGGGCCAGGGTATATTAAAGACGATAGGTATTTTCACCTTTGATTTAACATTCACTAGATTGCTGTAAACTTTTTTATTATTTTGATTGTGAGTTTATTCACTGTTTTTGGAGTTCACTACTCTACCATTTTTGCACCACTTTGGGAAAACATTCCTTGAGTGACCCCAAATAGGACTATATTTTTACTCTTGGCATTTATTTAGTATGTATTAGATTAATTTCTATTAGCTTAGTGCAGTGATGCACAACTGCAATCCCAATGAGGCTGAGTCAGGAGGATTATGTGTTTGAAGCCAGTGTCAGCAACTTGGATCTGTCTCAAAATAAAAAGGGCTGGGGATGAATCTCAGTGGTAGAGCATCCCTGAGTTCAATCCTCTACTGTCAAAAATATATACATAATAAATTAAAATAAATAAATAAATGTTTTTAACTTAGGGAGGGATTTTGACAGAGTTATGTTTTTACTTATTTTGAATCCTCTTCTTATGCCTTTAAGCCCATTAGCAACTGACATTCTCAGTCCTGAATGAATGTTCTGAATTAATTATTTAAATGAAAAACAAAATTAAAACACTGGCATAAGCATTTTAATACCCTTATAGTATTATCACATTCTCCATTTAAAAAAAATTCTAACATAATTTCTATTCAAAATCATATATAAGTTTTAAATTTCAGAAACAAAATAGAGATGTCAGTGAATACTGCAAATTTTATCTTTAGGAAGAGGGAACTATAATAGTATAATGTATAATAGTATAATGACTCCAAGGGTCTTAGAAACAGACAAAAGGAAATATAAAATCATTTGCCTGAGTTTCCTTTAAAACAAACTTATTTTCCATATAATTCAAACTTACTCATTGTTTAATTCTAAAGCTTGATAGGCTGCTTTGATTCGAGCTGGAGGATTTCTTTCCCTCCATGCCTTCTGCATAACTGTAGGAAAAATATTTCAAAAGTGGATGAGATGGTAAACATAAATAACTTTATGCAAAATATATGAAGAATGAACAAGGAGAGTAAATAAAGCTTTAAATAATATGTTTTTAAATATATAAAACAAGAAGTTGAGTTTCTAATTCACATTAACTTTATGAGAAATTTACATTAAACATAGAAGGTTTAAGTGTAATAAAATAATCTTTCTCTGATTTATTTGAATAACAACATATAAGGTATTTAACAAGTTTAATTTCATTGTTTATTATATGTGAATATTGATATATCTAAATGAACGTTAAAATTCAGTTTGAGTGATATTAGATTATAATCAACATGAAATATTCCAGTTCTGTTTTTATCATTTTCTAAAGATTCTATGGAACTGCTATAAATATACAAAAACTTAAAACAGAGTCTGTCTAATCAATGATTCACTCTAAGAAGAATGTGTGGATTTGCATTTTGCATGAAAAGCAGAGGGAAGAATTAATTTAGAATATAATACATCTCTGGAGTATGTCACCTTTAGCAGAATTCAACAAAAGCCTAAGCTAGAATTTCTCTGGAATAATCATATTAGTTTTGCTACCATTCACTATACTAAAATAAAGATATTACACTAAGTAACATTTCTTAAAAATTAAAAGAACAAACAAACAAAATGAAGATATCTGGCTTAGTTTAAGTTTGACAAGAAAAACAAGGAACCTATGAGTGTTGATTTTGGAACAAAACCCACCTCTGTCCAGAAAGAATAATGTGGAAAATGTTTGATTTTTCCCTTGGAAAGAAAATATTAGTGTTGGCTTAGAAAAGGAGACAATATATTCCACTTGTGTAACAAAAAATTCTTTTCTCATATCAAACATGTCACCAGCTAGCTGCAGCTAATGCTTCCTGAACTTGACAAATTGATGCAAGGCAGCATCCATCTGATTCTAAGTAAAGAACATTATTCTGTTGAAACTCTAAAATATTACATAAAAATAGAGCATAATATTAGATTTGCTATTTCTGATGATAGGGCTCTTTTCTATAAGTTATATGATGTTTACAAGTCAAATTTTAATACTAAATCTTTACCAACATTTTAAAGAGTTACTTGATATTCAGGTATATTAAGTACATATCAATTTCTTTAACCAATTCCCTTTTGATGGACAACTAAGTTATATCCAATACTTTGCTAACAAAGAACTGTGATAACAATCTTTCAGTGTCTATCTTTGCATAGCTGATCAAATATTTCCTTTCTAGAAATAAAAGGTTCTGGACAGACATATGTCTCCAAATTCCTCTCAACAATATCATATTAATTTATACTCTCACTTTATAGGAGAATGATAATTTCCATACTTCCTTAACAACCAACTACAAAAGTTGAGCATCCCCAATCCAAAAATCCCAAATCTGAAATACTCCAAAGTAAAGAACATTAACCTCAGGTGGGCAATTCCACATGTGACCTCATGTTCTTGCAGTCAAAACACAGGTACACTAAAAATACTGTATGAAATTACCTTCAAGCTAAGTGTATAAAGTGTACATGAAATATAAGTGAATTTTATGTTAGGACTTGAGTCCCATTCCCAACGTATCTCCTTATATATTTGGAAATATTCAAAAATTTTTAAAAATCTGAAATCCAAATATTTATGGTCTCAAGTATTTCTTATAAGGAATATTCAACCTGCCTTATCAATCTTTGCTAATATGTGAAAACAATCTCATTTTTGTTTTTTTTTTAATTTTTCTATTGAGGTTATCTCATCTACTTTTAAGTAATTTTTCTTATTTTTCTGTTTTCAAATGCTCTATCTGGCCTTTCAAGATTATTCTTCATAACCCAAGTCAGTCCTAACTCTAAGGGGAAAAGGGAAGTAGAGGAAGGAAAAAAAATGTGCATTTTTTTTTCTAAAATAAGGATCAGGAATAATTTAAAGCAAAATGTTGACTTAGTATTCAAATGTTCTCTTTAAGACCTCATGATATGCTTTAAAAAATTAATTAAAGCTTTTAGTAATTCATTCAAATTTATCTATTTTTAAGCCAAATATTTTGACATTCTAATAAGCACAAAAGAGACCAGCAGTTATCCCTAGGACAGGGATCACATATGTAAATGTCTACAGAGGCCAGGTAGGAAACATGACAATGAACTAAAACCACATTTACTGTCTGAAGAGAATAGCCACAATTCATTTCTAGCTTATTACTGCTAAGTGGAAATGTAGATCCACTTTTCCCATACTTTCCAAAAAGTGTAAATCAGATTTTAATGTGAATTTTGCTTTTTATTTATTTTTTTAATAGAATCTCTCTGTTGTCCAGGATGGCCCTTAATTCCTGGCTTTACAGGATTCTTCTACCTCACCCTCCCAAGAGCTGGGACTACTGGTACATGCCATTGTGACCAGCATCTTTATTTTTAAATGTTGAAAATTAAAACATATAATTCAAAAAACATTGCTGGCTGTCCCTTGAGAATATGGGTTTCTGTTGTTGTTGTTGTTGTTGTTGTTTTAGTTACAGATGGACATAATAGCTTTATTTTACTTATTATTTTTATATGGTGCTGAGGATCTAACCCAGTGACTCACATGTGCTATGCAAGTGCTCTACCACTGAGCCACAACCCTAGCCCCAAGAATATACTTGTTCTCTGCCTTAGATAAACAAATTGATAAGATGAGAACAAAATCAACTCATTTAATGATTACTAAAGATGATAAGTCAGGGAAATTTGCCACATCCCATATACATACACATTTGTCTTTTGAATATAAAACTATTAATATATATCATTGGCTTTCTGGGAATTTGGTCTAGTCCAAGCTCCAAGATTTATCTATCTTTCCATCTTGGAATTTGAATTCAGAAGAGAACATTATCATGGAAGATGCACGCTAATATGTTTACTTGAACTGAAAAATGAAGTCACAGACTTCACTACCAGAAAGCGTCTGGTTTCGTTAATAGGATTGAAAAATGAAGACATGCATCCAATTAGGTTTCATGGAGGACATATTTCAAAGTTTAAAGATCTAAGTTATATATCTGTAAGGACTTGACAAAACTTTGATTAAAATATATCACATTATTTAGAACCTAGACCAAATTTACATTAAAAAAGTATACTTGTTTATTGTAGAAAAGTCTGCTTATGATAAAAGACTTAAGCATTAATTATAATACAATTATAAAGTATGTAAAATAGATATGCATTAAGAAGAAAAAGGACTTACAAAAGCTTGTTACTGTTAGAAAACGTTTAATCATGTAGTTTTCAATAGATAAGGTGGGTGTCAAATTTTTTGATTCCAGGATCTGGGGCAATATATGTAGCTTAGTAGTAGAGTACGTAGCATGTGTCCTAGGTTCAATCCCAGAAAACACACACACACACACACACACATAAAATAAACTGACTCCATGATGTATATTTAAAATAAGGCATATTAATTTTACTTTTTTAATGTCTACAAAATTTTGCAATATGTCAAAAATTACATTCTTTGTCATTATTTTACCTTGTAATGTTAATTTTAAAAAGATTGAGTTAGACATAATGGCGAATGCCTGTAATCCCACTGACTGGGCTGAGGAAGGATCACAAGTTTGAGGCCAGCCTCAGCAATTTAACAGGGCCCTAAGAAACTCAGTGAGACCTTGTCTCAAAAAATAAAAAGGGCTGCGGACATAGCTTAGTGGTAAAGCACCCCTGGGTTCAATCCCCAGTACCAGAAAAAAAAAAAAAAAAGTAAAAGAACACATATGTGGGGAGCCACACAGAAGGACCATGCCTTCCAGACCTGATGCCTCAGGCTCTGGCCAACCACTCGGATAGCAAGACGGTCATCTTTGTGGGGCATGTCCCTAGGGTTGAGTTACACTCACCTGTTCCCTTATACTCCTGCCCCTTCTGCCTTTTTATGAATAGAACTTTCTAAGAACAACAGTCCTCCCCAACAAAAGGTGACTTCCAAACGTGTTCCCTCTCTCTCATCAGCCTCTCATGACTTTCTCTTGCTTTCCCTTTTGGGGAGCCTGAGGATGAAAGATGGGGAAGCCATCCTAAAGCTTGTATAAAGGTAAATCATGTCTGTGTTTTATTTTATGTCCCTGCAAATTCACACGAGTGATCTTAGTTCAGCTGCCCGCACTGGTTGGGGGTGGCATACATAATTTTAAAATTCTTTTTGGAGATAGTGAATGTTTTAAGACTATAATTTTAGTGTAGAAATGTTTTAAGACTACAGTTTTAGTGGACAGTCAGAGTGGCTGTTTGGAAAGTCTACTGATGTTTGCAATTCTGACTATGAGAGGGCTAATTTCCAGACTCACTTCAATCCTTAAAATTAACTCATAATACTTACACTCTACTCCTATTTCTAAAACATACTTTTGCTAATAATAACATTAAACTTATAAACATAAAGCAATTCTTTTTTAACCTCTATTTGAAATTAAATATTTTATGAAACCATATCAAAGATCCTTAAATTCCTGCTACCATCTATCCTTAATATATTTAATCCAACGACGATACATGACAATGAACTCAATTCAGTGCTAAGAAACTGGCTTTTTCAAACTACCTATCAATGTGGTTAAGTGGAAGTAGTAGTATTATAGTGGTTAAAAGCCAAACTGGAGTTTGAAACCTATCCTATGTATTAGCTGTGTGATTAGGGCATACTACTTGATCTCTCTTTGCCTTAGTTCCTTTGTTTTATTTATTTATTTGCAGTGCTAGAGATCAAATCAATGGTCTTATGCATGCTAGACAAACACTTCAGCAGTAAGCTTCATCCCCAGAACCAGTTCTTTTATTTTTAAAACTAAACTGATACTAGTACCTCTCATAAAGTGGGAAAATTAAATTAGTACATTTCTTCAAATTACTTAAACCAGGGCTTTCATAGGTGTCTTCCTTAATAGTGTATGAAACTTGGAGAGCAAGGAATATATTTTCATCTTTGATCCCTATCAGCTAGCACACTGCCTGGCATACTGCAAATACTATATTATTTAATATAATTTGAGTTAATATGTCTGTTAATATTATTTAATCTGAGTTTCTTATCAATAATGCAAATAACTTCAACCCAAATAACTCTGGATATTATAATAAATAACTCTAAAGAACTTTTCAAATAATTTTCAGTCACTGTTTGCACCATGAATAGATATGACGTACCTGTGTCTGAAGGACGTAAAAAGTCTGAGTCACAGGTGAAAAAGGTCTGATGGTCCTGAGCTGACAAGTTCATGTCATAGTATGTAAGTGGCTCTTTTCCAGTCACCCAAGTGTATCTTAACCAAAACACAAGAAAATATTTAAATTAGACATGAGAGAGCATCTGTCTGCTATAACATACACTATTTAAATTCCAAAGATAGAGGACTACAAGTTCTATATTCTATTTCAGGATATTTTTAAAATTTATTATACTTAGCAAAATGAGTGAGATAATCTACAAAAACTAATTAAGAATATGATAATAAAACATCAAACAGGAAATCAAAAGAATAAATTATTCAATACACAATGTTCTGAATACTGGATTTGAAGGAATAAAACAATGTTAGATATACACCTCATTAAATATATTTGAATAAATTCTCAATGAATAAAAATTAAATATTACAAGTAAAACTCCATAGAAGCTAAAAGAAAGGAGATGAATTTCTACTCAATATCAAGATGGTGTAGGGCTTTCAGTGTATAGACAGAGCAGGGCACAGTGGTGCACACCTACCATCTCTACAACTCGGGAGGCTGAGACAGGAGGATCACAAGTTTGATGACAGCCTGGGCAACTTAGCAAGACCCTCTCTTAAAATTAAAAAAAAAAAAAAAACTGACTGGGTAAGTATCTCAGTGGTAGAGTGCTCCTGGGTTCAATTACCAGTACCCAATACCATAAAAAGAAAGAGAGAGAGAGAGAGAGAGAAACTTTTTTTCCATATTTCACTAAAGTAAAATTATAAACTTTCATCCCACCCAATCCTACAATAAACTGTCTAGTAAATACTCTTTTTATTTTCCAAACCGGAGATTGAACCCAGGGATACTCTACCACTGAGATACTTCCCAAGATCTTTTTATTTTGAGATTGTTCTTGTTAAGTTGTTAAGGTCCTCAAACTTGTGATTCTCCTTCCTCTGCCCCTCAAGAAGATGGGATTACAGACATGCACCACCACACCAGGCTAGTAAATACATTTTTAAATGTCAAATCTCATTAGTAATAAACAAATAGTGAATTAAAATTAAGTTTTACTCTTCACCTATCAAACTGATGAAGATGTGTTATCAAGGATGAAGTGGAATATGCATATGTATGTTATGGGAATAAATGCAAATTAGAATACATTTCTCTTCTCAGAAATCAATTGGGTAATATCTATCAAAAGTCTTTAAAAAGTTACATCTAGGTGGAATTCCATTAAACATTTTCTCTCCTTTAAAAAAAATTTAAAATTTACATAGTAATGATTTTCAAAAATCAAGGGAAGAAAAAAAACCTGTTTATACCCTATTATTCAGTAATCCCTGTGCTACAAATAAACCCTGAGGAAATAATCATAGATGTGGCTACATACTTATAATATACCAATTTAATGCTAACAGTGGAAAAATAATCTCAGTAACCCAGATGGGAGAGACTATGGGTAAAGTAAGGTATATGCATGCATACAATAGAAAAAATACAACCATAAAAATCACATTTTTAAAGAAATCCATGTTATCAAGAAATTTTGTGGGAAATTCACATAATGTTATATTGGAAAAAAAGTAGGATGTATATCTTTGAGTATGGTGTTAAAGTTTTGTTTCTATATGTGCATATAAAAGAGAGACTGGATGGAGATATTCTAAAATACTAATAGCAATTAACACTTAGTGGTGGAAAAGTGATTTTTACTTTCATTTTTATGCATCTATGTATTTTTAATTTTGTACAATGAATATGCATATATTTTACAAACAGAAAAACTGAGTACCAGAAAAGAACATTTTAAATGTTATTTATACATGATCAAAGTTCTTAAGTTATTTTATACCATTAAACAATAGCTGGGTATGGTGGCTCATGCCTGTAATCCCAGCAATTTAAGAGGCTGAGAAGGGAGCATCACAAGTTTGAGGGCAGCCTCAGCCACTTAACAAGACCCTATGAAACTTAGTGAGACTGTATGTCAAAATAAAAAGTAAAAAGGACTGGGGATGTGACTCGGTGTGTAAGTTTCCTGGGTTCAATCCCCAGCACAAAAATAAATAAATAAATAGCCTTGCTAAAATTTTAGCTTTTTTTTCCCCCTAAACAGATATCTATATCTGTAAGCAGATATATTTTAGTTGTCAAAGGATCTTTTATTTATTTATGTGAGACGCTGAGGATCGAACCCAGGGCCTCACACATTCGAAGAAAGCACTCTACCACTGAGCTACAACTCTAGCCCTAAAATTTTAGTTTATAAAAAAATTGTCATGAAGAAAAAAGGAAAAACAAATTCTTGTTAATCTATCAAAGTTTTGCTACGCATTCTAAAAGTAAGAAAATACTGAGCTAGAGGTATAGCTCAGTGGTAGAGCACTTCATCTTGCACGTATGAGGCCCTGGGTTTGGTCATTAGCACCATAAAAGATAATAAAAATTTAAAAATAATTAGTAATCCATATTATTCCTAAAATGATTGGAGGCAGATGAAATACAAAGTATAATATAACCTACACTGAAAGTAGATTAAAAAGATTCAATAGAGGAAAAATAATAATTGGGACACAAATGGAACCTAAAATGAAATTAACCATAAAGTTCAGTGCATTTACTAAGAATTGATTACAGTATGGCTTTAAACTTTCTAGAACTACAAAATGATTATCAACCAATTCAGACTTTTTTGAATTAATCATTCAAAAGAAGCATATTTCTGGTACTAAGAAATTTCTCTTTAAAATCTTCATGAAGTAGAATCTGTATAATATAACAAGGAACTGTGGCAATAACTTAATAAACAGTGTAGAAGGTTCAAGGACCTCTTACAGAATCCCTTAATACAGGTTAAAGACATCTCCCATAAAAGCCTAGTTTTCACTTTCCAGGATGCCTCTATCTTACACTATCAAGTACTTACAAAGAAGGGTTATTGTTTAAGCATTTTTGTATCTCCATCATTTTGCACAGAGTAGGGTTGTACAGTGAGTTAAACAACATGCTCCAGTCTACCTCCAGGTAAAACAAAGTCCTACTCAAAATAAAAATGAAAGTCAGGGCTGGGATTGTGGCTCAGTGGTAGAGTGCTCACCTAGCATGCATGAGGCACTGGGTTTGATCCTCAGCACACATAAAAATAAAAATAAAGATATTGCATCCACCTAAAACTAGAAAATACATATTTTTAAAAAATGAATGTCAAATATCAATAGTTGGAAGTTTCTAGAGATGCTTTTTCATTCACAATAAAACTGGAAGAAAAATGAACACAGTAGTATAGAGAGGAGATGGTAATATAAAATCAATAAAAAAATCCTGTACCGTTGCTCAAATATGAGCTCATATTCACATTCAGATTGAAGTTTTCTAGTGAATCTTGAAATCTTGAAATTGAGCACATATGCATAGGAGTTTGCTGACACCTACAATTTTTTTTAACCTCAAGAATTCTTTAAAAAAGGCTTTCTAACATAAACTAAGGGACTTATTACATATCACAAACATGATTTAAAGCATTGCTTCTAATACATAGTCAAGATGCTGCCACAAAAACTTGAGCTAATCTTTTTACCTTATTATATATATCAACATCTCCAACTGGAAGAAACTGTGATATATTTATAAAAACAAATGTTTCCATAGTACTTTCACTCTACTTATAACGAAAGCAAAATGTAGTACCTTCTATATTCTGCTCCTCTGAAAAGATTTAAAGGGTTTCTCCATACCTTGCATTCTGAAAAACATGGGGAAAAAAAAGAGTTCAAACAAATGCAGTCAAATCTTCATTTAATCAACATTCACTGTCTACCCAGTTATTCTAAGCACAGAACTAGCCACAGATGATACAAAGACAAATAAACCATTAATCACCTTGGCTCTCAAGAAGCATAGAATTAAATCTAGTCATTCCTTATTTCTGTCTCCATAGTGTTTGGTTCATAATTCAGTTATGTCAGTTACCATTTAAAATGTGATTGATTATCTGTTTGGATTTTAATTCCCCCTCTCAAATATGATATCTTAGCTCACTTTTATGTTTGTGAAGCCTACCACAGTATCTGGAACTGACTTGTTTAACTGAATTAAATACAGTATTATGAACCATCACTAAACTGTATGACAAGTGCTATAGTTGAGACCTGTTTTATTCCAACCAAAAAAAAAGGAAAGTGAATTTTTCTCTGGAGGAATCAGCGAAGGTTTTAGGGAGGCGGTGACATTTGAACTGAAGCTGAATCATTGAATCATAAAAGATGAGTAGAAGATTGCCACATTCAAAGCAGAGGAATTACCATAAAACTGTACATCATGTTTAGGCTAGAGCAGATGGTAGGGTGTAGGAGGAAGAGCTGAAATAAAGGTAGACTGAAGGAAATTGATGAAGGAACTTATATTCCATTTTAAAGAGTCTGAAGATGATATAAAATCAATCAACAAATATATGAAAAAAATGTTCATCATTGCTAGCAATTAGAGAAATGCAAATCAAAATCACTCTTAAGATTTCATCTCACTCCAGTCAGAATGGCAGCTATTATGAACACAAATACCATTAAGTGTGGGCGAGGATGTGGGGGAAAAGGTACACTCCTACACTGCTGGTGGGACTGCAAATTGGTGCAGCCAATATGGAAAGCAGTATGAAGATTTCTTAGAAAACTGGGAATGGAACCACCATTTGACCTACCTATCCCTCTCTTTGGTCTATACCCAAAGGACTTAAAAACAGCATACTACAGGGACACGGCCACATCAATGTTTATAGCAGCACGATTCACAATGGCTAAACTGTGGAACCAACCTAGATGCCCTTCAATAGATGAATGGATTAAAAAAAATGTGACATAGACACACAATGGAATATTACTCAGCAATGAGAGAATAAAATCATGGCATTTGCAGGTAAATGGATGGAGTTAGAGAAGATAATGCTAAGTGAAGTTAGCCAATCCCAAAAAACCAAATGCTGAATGTTTTCTCTGATATAAGGAGGCTGATTCATAGTGGGGTAGGGAAAGGAAGCATGGGAGAAATAGACAAACTCTAGATAGGGCCGAGGGAGGGGAGGGGAGGGGAGGGGAGGGGGCAGGGGGTTAGAAATGATGGTGGAATGTGATGGACATTATTATCCAAAGTACATGTATGAAGACACGAATTGGTGTGAATGTACTTTGTATATGACCAGAGATATGAACAATATTGTGCTCTATATGTGTAATTTGAATTGTAACACAATCCACTGTCATATCAAAATTTTTAAAATTAATAAAAAATAAATTAGGGTCTAATAGAGAGGAAAAAAGGGAAAATAAAACTTTATTGAATTGTGGTAAAAAAAAGTCTAGATATAATCTTGAGTCAGTGAGAAGCTATCAAAGGATTATAAGCAGAATAACAACAAATATCAAAGCAGTTCTTAAAGTATGATTCATGGAAATGCAAAGTAACTGTTTTCATAGTAAATTCTGAGACATGATTTGCCTTTGTGTTGACGTGGACTCAGTTATAGGACCCTGAGAATGAGGGCATCTTTAAATTTTGTGCCCTAGGCAACTCATTTATCTTACCATCCTGTTGCACAATTTAACTAATAGTATCAAGTTAATGTGGGTATAACCACTACACTTTTTTTTATTTTGGTACTGGGAATTGAACCCAGGGGCTCTTAACCATGAGCCATATCTCCAGCCCTTTTTTATATTTTATTTAGAAAGAGAGTCTCGCTGAGTTACTTAGGTTCTTGCTAAGTTTCTGACGCTGGTTTTTTTTTTTTTTTAATTTTTATTTGTTCTTTTTAGTTATACATGACAGCAGAATATATTTGGACATACTATACATAACTAGAGTAGACATCCCATTTTTGTGGTTGTACATAATGTGGCATTACATTGGTCATACATTTAATGAACATAGGAAAGTTATGTCTTTCATTCTACTGTCTTTTCTATTTCCATTCCCCCTCCAATTCATTCTACTGTCTTTTCTATTTCCATCTCCCCTCCCTTCCCTTTATTCCCCTTTGTCTAAAATTCAATGAACTTCTATTCTTCCCTCCACCCCTGTTAATGTTCTGCATATCAGAACATTCAGCTTTTGGTTTTCTGAGATTGGCTTATTTCATTTAGCATGATAGTCTCCAGTACCATCCATTTACTGGCATGTGCCATAATTTCCTCCTCCTTTATGGCTGAGTAACAGTCCGTTGTGTATATATGTACCACATTTTCTTTATCCATTCATCTGTTGAAGGACACCTCCATAGTTTAGCCATTATGAATTAAGCTGCTGTGAACACTGATGTGGCCATGTCACTATAGTAAGCTGATTTTAAGTCCTTTGAGTATAAACCAAGGAGTGGGATAGCTGCGTCAAATGGTGGTTCCACTCCAAGTTTTCTGAGGAATCTCCAGACTGCTTTCCAGAGTGGTTTCATCAATTTGCAGTCCCACCAGCAAATGTATAGGTGTAACTTTCTCCCCACATCCTCACCAACATTTATTGTTACTTGTATTCTGACTGATAATCGCCATTCTGACAGGAATGAGATGAAATCTCAGTGTAGTTTTAATTTGAATTTCTCTAATTGCTAGAGATATTGAACATTTTTTCACATATTTGTAGACTGATCATATTTCTTCTATGAAATGTCTGTTCAATTCCTTTGCCCATTTATTGATTGGGTTATTTGTTTTTTTTTTTTGTTTTTTTTTTTGGTGTTAAGTTTTTTGAGTTCTACTCTGTATAAGGTGTAGGTGGCAAAGATTTTCTCCCATTCTGTAAGCTTCTGTTCACATTTTTTATTGTTTCCTGTGCTGTGAAAAAGATTTTTAGTTTGACACCATCCCATTTATTGATTCTTGATTTTATTTCTTGCACTTTAGGGAGTCTTGTTGAGGAATTCAGTTCCTAAGCTGACATGATGGAGATTTGGGCCTACTTTTCCTTCTAGTAGGCTCAGGGTCTCTGTTCTAATGCCTAGGTCCTTGATTCACTTGGAGTTTTGTGCTGGGTGAGAGATAGGAGTTTAACTTCATTTTGCTACATATGAATTTCCAGTTTTCCCAGCATCATTTGTTTAATAGGCTACCTTTTCTCCAATGTTTGTTCATGGTGCTTTTGACTAGTATGAGATAACCGTATTTATGTGGGTTTGTCTCTGTGTCTTCTATGCTATACCACTGGTTTTCATGTCTGTTTTGGTGCCAATACTATGCCGTTTTTGTTACTATAGCTCTGTAGTATTGGTGTTGTGATGCCACCTGCTTCCCTTTTCTCTCTGAGGATTGCTTTGTCTATTCTGGGCCTCTTACTTTTCCAAATGAATTTCATGACTGCTTTTTCTATTTCTATGAAGAACATTGTTGGAATTTTAATTGGAATTGCATTAAATCTGTATAGTGCTTTTGGTAGTTTGGCCATTTTGACAATATTAATCTTGCCTATACAAGAACATGGGAGATCTTTCCATTTTTTAAGGTCTTCTTCAACTCCTTTCTTTAGTGTTCTATAGTTTTCATTGCAGAGGTCTTTCACCTCTTAGATTGATTCCCCAATATTTTATTTTTTAAGGCTATTATGAATGGGATAGTTTTCCTAATTTCTCTTCCAGTTGACCCATTGCTGAGGTATAGGAACACAATTGACTTATGGTTGTTAATTCTATTTCCTGTTACTTTGCTTAATTAATTTATGAGTTCTAAAAGTTTTCTGGTGGAATTATTTGGGTCTTGTAAATATAGAGTCATGTCATGGGCAAATAGGGATAATTTCAGTTCTTCTTTTACTATTTGTATCCCTTTAATTTCTTTCATCTAATTAATCTGGCTAAAGTATCAAGGACTATGTTGAATCAAAGTGGTGAAAGAGGGCATCCTTGTCTTTTGCCAGTTTTTAGAAAGAATGCTTTCAATTTTTTTCCATTTAAAATGATGTTGGCCTTGGGTTTAATGTATACAGCTTTTACGATGTTGAGGTATGTTCCTACTATCCCTAGTTATTCCAGTGTTTTCAGCTTGAATGGATGCTGTATTTTGTCAAATACTTTTTCCGCATCTGTTGAAATAATCATGTGATTCTTTTAAGTCTATTTATGTGATGAACTACTTTTTTTGATTTCTGTATGTTGAACCAACCTTGCATCCCTGGGATGAACCCCACTTGATCATGGTGCACTACCTTTTCAATATGTTTTTGTATGCATTTTGCCATTATTTTATTAAGAATTTTTGCATCTATGTACTGAGGCTAGCCTTGAACTCACAATCCTCCTGTCTCAGCCTCCTGAGCTGCTAGGATTATAGGCATGTGGCACCTGGCAAACCATTATACTTTAGCATGAGTCAAGGCAGTGATGCCAAATTGTACTAACAGTCATTGAATTCTTCGCCCCAAATCACTGTAGTATAAACAAGGCAATTTTTTTCTCCCTGGTGCTATGAACCCAGGGCCTCATGCCTGCTAGGCAAGTAATCTTAACACTGAGAAGCATCCCCACTGGCAAATTTATTTCCTTCCTTCCCCTCCCCAACCTTCTCTTTTCAGTGCTGGGGACCCAAGGCAACTTTTTAAACTTTATATCAGCTATGATAAAATCAATTATTTTGTAAGTTGAACTGGTCACTTTTGTCATATAATACTTTTAGTTGAAAAATCCACAAGAAGACAAATTGGTGATTATTCAAATGGGTACCTAAAAGACATTTTCTTAAAAATGAAAAAGTGAAGATGTCAACCTCAAGGAAGAAAACTAACAGTATTGGCTGTGAAAGATAAAATTTTTCAAGTAACGTTAAAAGTTTGAAAAATCTGTATCTCCAACTGTGAGTTTGGTAATGTCACGATACTAAAGACTTTTTTGTAAGATTTAGTAGCAATATTAACAAATGTGATTTTTCTTATGTTATGCAATAAAATGTTTTAACATTTAAAATAAGCATAACACAGAGAAAAAGGATTTTCCAAATAACAAATGTGATATTTTAAAACTATGGGAAAACGATCCATTCAAAATGAACAGATTTTAACAGAGAATGCAATGTTCAAATTCCATATTAAACTACAATTTTAGAAAGCACCCTTCAGTGAGTTTTGATGTAGTACCCAAAAAAAGAATATCCACAATTTTCTGAAACATCTATTAAAATATTCTCCCCCTTTCCAACTACGTACCTGTGCAAGCCTAGATTTTCCTCATATGCTTTAATTAAAACATCACAACAGACAGTGCAGAAACGTATGAAAATAAGCTGTTCTATATTAAGGTAGACATTAAAGAGATTTGAACAAACGTAAAACAATGCTAGTCTCCTGACTAAGCTTTTTCTTGTTTGGGGAAATATAATTAATTTTCATAACATGTACATTAGTTAGCTTGGACTTCCATACTAAAACACCATAAATTATGTGGCTTAAACAACCCCTTTAGGGGTTGGTCTTTTTTGAAGGCTGTATCTTGCAGCTATGTAGTTTTACGGTACAGTCCTGCAGAATCCAAACAGTCTAATATCGTCCTTTATTTGGTTTGGTTTTGTCTCCATTAGTACAAACTGTCAATGCCTTTCTGGAATAAATCCACTTCTATTCCTGAATTCTGCTGATAGTTGAACGATCAAGTCAAGTCCATGAGCTGGACATATTATCTCAAAAGGCTGTTCAGTCATGTCCTTGGAGTACTTTTCAGAATAAGTTTTCTCATTTTTGACAATATAGATAGGCTGAGAATTTTCCAAATCATCAAGTTCTGGTTCTGCTTCATTTTTGCTTAGGAATTCCTTCTTGAATTCATCTCTCCTCTTTTACGTTTCAGGAGGAAATGAGCTACTCCATCCATACGTTGTTTAGAAATATTCTCAGCTAAATATCCAATTTCAGTGTCAAATTTTACCTTTCATAAAATGCTAAACACAGTTCAGTCTAATTCTTTTCTACTCTATAACAAGAATCACTTTTCTTCTGGTTTCCAATAACATGTTCCTCAATTTCTTCTAAGATATCACCAGAATTGCCCTGAATGTCCATATTTCTGGACATTCACCTAAGAACCCTTCTAGCCTCTGCCCATTACCCAGTTCCAAAGTCACTTATACATATTGATGTATTTGTTACAGTGGTACCATACTTCTTAGTACCAAAATATCAATTCAATTCAGGATGCCATAACAAAATATCATATACTAGGTAGCTTAAACAACAGAAATTGATTTTCTCATAATCTGGAGGCGGAAGTCCAAGACCAAGATGGTTGGATTCTGGTGATGATTCTCTTCCTAGCTTGCAGACAGTAGCATTCTTGCTCTGCTCTTGTGTGGTGGACACCATCCTATCTTGTAAGGCTGACAATCTTATCAGATTAAGAATCCACCCTTATGACCTTATTTAATCTTAATTACTTCCTAAAAGTCCTATCTCCAAATACTATTACATTGGAAGTTGGAGTTTCAACGTATGAATTTTGAGAACATAACACAGTCTATAGAAATATGTAATGGCTTTATTGTCACTTTTTAAAATTAATAATTTTTGAAATTTATGCTTAATTTCTAGTCTGACAATAATGATGAATACAATAAAAAAGTACAAGCTACTTAAGATGTTCAGTAATTTGTGTTAAAATTCCTAAGTCCAATAAGTTTTAGAACCATTTTTTAATACAGTAAATGGAGAGAATGTACTAGAAGTATTAGAGGAAGAAAAATCGTTTAGGACACTGTAGCAATAGCCTCAGAAAGAGATATCAAATGCCTGAATACGGTATAGCAAATGTTGAAATCAAAGAAGGTAGGATGGAGCAAAGATAATTTTTGAGGGTAAATCAATATAATTTGAGGGTCAATTGTTTGGAGAATAAAAGGGGAATAAAAGAGATATAAACAAATAAAGATTTCTAGTATAGAAGTTAGATATCATTAATAGATTGTGAGATTATGAAAGGAAAACTACTAGAAGAAGGTAATTAGTTTCATTTTGAACAGAGTAAGTTCAGGGTGCTTAGGATCATCAAAAGTGGAGATGTCTAGCAAGAGTCAGAAATGTGGCTCTGGAACTTAAAACTTGTGAGTAGACATTTAAAATTGCTTCTCCCAGTATATATGTCTATGGAAGATAATAATAGTATAGAATGAAAGGAAGTTACCCTGAGAGACTTTGACTCATTTTTGAGGTCCAATTCAAACCTGTTCTCTGTAAAACATTTTGTGGCGCTAAAACTAACTGAACACTAACTGACTACTCCTTTTTTCTGTCACTACAGTATTATATACATACCTGATAAAAGCAGCTAACCATAATCTTTTGCTGTCAACTTATTTGTAAGTCTATATCTCCTACCAACTTGGAATGTTTTTAAGGTTATCTTCATTATCATTTTGAATGATTTGGTCAGTCTTACAATAAAGAATAAAATCACATGTGTATTATTGCTATAATTATTCATATACTGAACTTTGAGCTTTTTTGGGACAGATTGATATATATATATATATATATATATATATATATAAAATTCATTTTAATCTATACTGCTCTTAGGATTATTTTATGAAAGGAGAGAAAAGAGACAGTTAAAAAAATCATCATTATTCCTTCCTGAACTCCCAAATGGCTACCAACCCCACCTCTACTCATCTTGGTCTTCACCTGACCAAATCTTAAAAAATGCCAGGATCTGTACTTGGTATTTTCTACTAAACTGACATAACTAGTGACTGGGTTTATTGAACAAATGAGACATTACAGGAATTTTAGAGAATTAATTCATTTCTTAAAATTATCATTATTATTATACCAAATGAGAATAATCCAAAAATATCATTTTTATTTGGCTTTGAAAACTTTACTTTCCTAATTACATATCATTAATAATACTTGATTTCCATTACTGGACACATAGAGAGGAACTATCCACAATTCAAGTATGACAATGAACTATTCAAACATGAGGAACTAAACTTTGATGCCTCTGTAAGAAAACTGAAGAGAAAAAGTATTTTTCTCACTTTGCTCTCTTGGTAGAGATGGTAAATTCCTAGATTTCTCATTTGGCAAATAATAATATCCCCTGATTATTTGCTGTGTATGTACACACCAAGAAAAAGATTATAATTTCTCGTCTCCCTTATGACTAGTGGTGGCCATTTAACAAAGGTCTGATGAGTAGAAAGTAAGTGGAAATAATATATAATGCTTCTGGGAAGTATCCTTGCCTGCCATGAGATGGATGAGGGAAATAGTGTCCATCTCCTGGCCTTTTCTCCTTCCTGCTGAATGCTTCATGGATATGATGACTAAAGCCAGAGAAAGTACATTGGACCACAAAGTAAAAACTGCATTTGAAGATGGCAGACTAACAAAATTGAAGGGATCTGATTTCTGATGATCACTGCTCTCCCCACTAGCCATGGATCACCTTTATTTACATGAAAGATAAAGTTCTCTTTATTTTAGTCTATTTGGTTGGCTGTAACAAAATACCATAAACTATATAGCTTATAAACAACAGAAATTCATGTCTCACATTTTTGGAGGTTGGGAAATTCATTATCTAGGTGCTGGCAAACTTAGTAGCATCTGGTGAGGATTCACCTTCTGGTTACGCTTTGTCCTCACAAGGTGGTAAGGGCAAATGGCTCTCTACAGTCTCCTTCATAATACCATTCATGAGGATCCCACCCTCAGGATATGATAACCTCTCAAAGGTCCCATCTCCTAACATTATCACATTGATGATTAGGTTTCAACATATGAATTTACCAGAGTCATATAAACATTCTCAGCACACAGTTGTTTTTCTATCTCCCAAAGCCAAATTCAGTCTTAACTATTTAGCTGTGAAAACATATTAAAAAACTAGTTACCCGATAAATTCTGTCTGCTTGTTTCACTTTGGCTGTTGCTTGAAGAAGGACCTGACTCTGAAATGCTGCTTTCTGTTCCTCCCATCAGTGGTCGCAAATGGCTTATAGATACTTGCTCAATAAAAGATGTGCCATGCTTATGGAAGTACCACCATTCAAAAATCTATGACAAAGAAAATACATCTTTTACTTAAAATAGAACTGATCAGCAGATATATAAGCTCAAATTAAAACATTCTCTCAAGATGTTCCTCTTCAATTCAACATTTTAAATGCATTTACTCCCCTCTCCCTCAAGAAAACAAACCTAAGATTTCCCCAAAAGCACATGCCATATGAAAGTAAAATACCATTTTTATAGTTTTTTTAAAAGTTTTTATTTATTTATTTATTTTAAATTTATATATAACAGCAGAATGCATTAGAACTCTTATTACTTGAGCTCCATTTTAACAAGCTTAGGCAAAACATTGCAATAAAACATTAAGAACAATAAACGTTTAATTTATAAATTATTTAACTGTTTGCTATGCATGCTGTTGTATGCCTATAATCTCAGTGACTTGGGAGACTGAGGTAGGAGGATGGCAAGCTCAAGGCCAGGCCAGTCTCAGATATTGAGGCCCTCAACAACTTAGCAAGACTCTGTCTCAAAATAAATAAATAAAAGGACTGAGAATGTAGCTCAGCACCCGGGGTTCAATGCCTAGTACCAAAAAAAAAAAGGAACCAACCAAAAGAAGCTCTCTATGAATTAGTAGACGTTTTCATATTTGGATATTCCAACCTCCACAACTCCCTATGTCTGGTTCTTTGTGTTTCATCTTAAATTACAATTTCTCAGGGAACTTAGTTCCTGATTCCACAAAATAGAATAGGTAGTTGTGCTTCCACTAGATCTTATTTTCCTTTCATAGTAATCTTTTCACTTACAATGATTGTGCTATTCCTCAAGCCTCTAAGCAGACTTTTTGTTTTTTTTTTTCATACAGCCCTTCCTCACTGCCCTCAGGTCTTTACTAAAACAAAAAACAAGCAAGCAAACAAAAAAAGGGGGGTGGGGAACAAAACAACCATTCAGTGAGGCTTTTCCTTGCTAACCTAGTTAAAATTTCAACTTTCTTCCCACATTTTATATGCCCTTTTCTGCTTCATTTTTCCCCTTACCACTTATCACTGAGAATAAGAACATGCAAGAAAAAAAAAAAAGAGTAAGAACATGCTATTTATTTTACTTCTTTATCTTTTATTATATATCCCCATAGTATAATGTGTGCTCTATGAGGACAAAGATTTTTTTCTTTGTTTTATGCACTGCTATAAGCCCAGTGCCTTGAAACAGTGACACTCAGTGGGCACTCAATAAAAATTGTCAAATGAATCGATATCAATAATCACCTTCTAGACCAAATTCCAAGAGGCCAGAATCTGTCTGCTTACCATGGTATACTCAACATCTAGAAGGGATGTCTGTATATAAAAGGCTCTCTACATATTTGTTACATTAATAAATCAGGGGCTTTCAGTTGAACAACTAGTTTTATATGTTTCAACTATAAAGTTACTTCAATATCTTCCTCCTGTAATTTATGGATCATGTCCCTTAAAAAGGTAACCAACAGGGGCTGGGTTGTGGCTCAGTGGTAGAGTGCTTGCCTAATAAGTGTGAGGCACTAGGTTTGAACCTCAGTACCACATAAAAATAAGTAAATAAATAAATAGAGGGATTGTGTCCATCTACAACTAAACATATTTTTAAAAAAGAAAGTTAAACAACAGCTAGGTGTGGTGGTACATGCTTATAATTCCATTGATTCAGGAGGATGAGGCAAGAGGATCACAAGTTCAAGGTCAGCCTCAGCAACTTAGCAAGACCCTATCTCAAATAAAAAAGGCTTTAATCCCAGCAGCTCAAGAGGATGAAGCAGGAGGATAGTAAGTTCAAAGCCAGCCTCAGCAACTTAGACCCTAAGCAACTTAGTGAGACCCTGTCCCAAAATAAAAAATAAAAAGGGCTAGAATTGTGGCTCAAGGCTTGACTACTCTGGGTTCAATCCTCAGCAAACCCCCTTCAAAAAAGTTAACAGATAGACTATTCTCCTGCTAAATGTAATGGAGAAACATATTACCTCATTTAAAGAATAAACAAACACATCTACAAATGCCTAAAAGATTATAATTTTTTTTAAAATTACTGACCACAGAGTATCTCTCTCTCTCTCTCTCTCTCTCTCTCTCTCTCTCTCTCTCACACACACACACCAGTGTTCAAATCTCTAGGAATGTTGATTTTTGCCTTAGTAAATAATAAAGCAGCTACTTGTGTGCCTAAACTATGCAGTTGTTTTGTACTATATTGTAGCCCACTGACTAAATGCTACAATATTTAAAGGAAAGTGCTAGAAAATCAAATTGCTCCTTTTTTTTTCTATTATGCCACTAATGTTTTATGCTCAACCTAAAATGGCTTTCCTTTCTGCTTACTCTTACTAGTTAACAAGGAGTTAATTCCCACCAAATGTGGTCATGGTTTGGCTTATACCATATATTTTACTAAGATGTGGGATGAAACTTAAAGAAGAAACAATCAGAAGAAATTACACAAGCAGAAACTGTTTATGTGACAGAAAAGACAAGATTTATGTTGGATAAATCTTGGATTTAAAAATTGGATAAATGCCATCAAGAACTAAAATCACAAGGGGAACAAAAATAAACTGTTCTTCACTATAGCATTTTTATGAATAAATATGAATTCGAAGTTTTCTGAACTTTTAGATCAACTTTTTAACACAAATAAACAATGATAATAATAATTGTTAACATTTATCAAAAGCTTTCCATGAGCCAAGCATTTTACCAAGTCCTTTATAATACATTATGTCATTTAATTCTCATAATAACTAATTATAGAAATGAGGACACAAATTCCAAATTCAAACAACTAGCTCTAGTTACCACCACTGGGAAGTAAGCAGAAGTGAGTTTCTTATTCAGGTCTGTCTTACTTCAGAGCTTCTAACCATTACATTAAATGGCTTCCCAAATATATCTCAGTGTACATGTAAATGTATGTATATATGTAAATGTATGTGTATATGTAAGTCCAGATAGTAAGAGAAATTATATACACAACAACCTTTGCTAATATTAATAATTTAAAAAACTATCAATACTGCAAGGGTAATGACATAGTTTAGTCTTTAAAATGTTACTTGAATTTCCTATTTCAAAAAGAGTAACAACAAATTTTTTAAATGGTTTTAGACATCATATTTCTATGAATTAAATATATAAGATATCCCCTCTTTTAAATATGAAGGAATGAGAAATTTTATAGTTTGTGTGACTTGCCCAGAGTTATCAGCTAGTTGATACTCAAAATCAGATCCTGTTCCGAAATCAATGCTTTTTCCCCATATCAGCCATTTAAAGACAGTTTATTTCTGCTAGGCATGGTGGCACATGCCTGTAATCCAATGACTTAGAAGGATCCTAAGTTTGAGGCCAATCTCAGCAATTAGAGTGACCCTGTCTAAAAATAAAAAATAAAAAGAGCTGGGGATATAGCTCAGCCCATAGGTTCGATACTACCTTAATACCACCAAAAAAGAAAAGATAGCTTATTTTCTTATTTTAGATTTCACATGTATTCTATTAACTAAATATGCTAGAATATGACAAAATATGCTTTAACTATGAGTGGATCTTATCAACCAATAAATTGTGACTTATATTACCATATATTTTTTCTCCTGAATTCAAATTTTTCTGAACCAAGAGAAAAATTCCTTTTTTGTCTAACATTTACTTTAAAAAAATAGTGTCAGTCCCTATTTTTAAGTCCAATACAAATGATATTATTTCTACTAAAGCTGGAGAGCACCACCTACAGATAAGAAAAAGAATACAAAAATCCATGGGCCACACATGACATAATACTTAAAAGATTTGTATCTGTAGCAGTAGTTTTCCAAAATGTATATTAGAAAACACTAGATTCAATGGATATTATAAAATTTAAACATATATTTTTAAATTAAAAAATGATACCTTGTTAAAGGAAAAGTTGAATCAAAGTAAAACAGGTTTCTAACTAGGGCACTTCCCAGAATAATAGCCAAAATTCATTAAATACTTATTGAGTCAACTACCATGGTTACAAGTTTTATATATTCATCTCATTTAGTTCTCATAATCCTGTGAATACCATTATTTTCCCATTTACAGATAAAAACCTGGGGATTGTAAAAACTATAGGCTGAATTCTAGACACATAAATTTTAGTCTACTTAAGTTGTTAATATTAAAATATCGAAAGATTTTATATAAAGTCTGTATATCCAGTTTCTCTTAAAATCATTTATAAAACCGGAAGATGTACTAGTCATAAGTCTACATGACAACAATTATCTTCAGTTCCTTTTAGAAGGAATATGCACTTTGCAAGTTCCCAGTCCTCAAAGTAAATAAGGAATTTCTTACACTCTGCTGATTTCATTCATTTTTTATTACTAATCTGGGTCCTTTAGACATTAAATTTGTAACCCATCCCAACACTTCCTGACTACAGTACAAATGTCTTTAATATGCAATAAATACTGTCAATCTCCAAACCTGTTTGACTAGGTAACTTTAAGTTACTAGGTACCAAACACATTTTTGAAATGTTGATATGTAAGTACTTGCAATTATTATAACCATATAAAAGATCTTTAGCTACATACCAAAACATGAATGGAAAAAATAAAAAGTACTTACAAATATTAGTCCTGATATCAAAGAAGATGTCCCTGTAAGTGCCACATAGAATTTGGGTGTCAATGAATTTAAAAATCCTGTCACTGTTAAAAGAAAAAACATAAAAGTTAAACACACAAACACACACACACACACACACAAATTTAAGTACTTAAGTTACAAATATGCAGGTGTCTTTGAGTGGAGGGACATATGGAGTACAGATACTCCTGATTTACAATGAGGTTGTGTCCTAAAGAACTCACTATAAATTGAAAATATTGTTAAGTCCATAATACATGTGATTTGACTAGACCATAGCTTAGCAACACAGTACACTATGGAGTATTGGTTGTTTATCCTCTAGACTGATTGCCTTAATAGGAGACCAGCTCCCTGTTGGTGCCCAGCATTGAAAAAAGCATACTCTTAACCGAGGCAAAGATCAAAATTCAAAATTTCTACTAAATCCTTATGGGCACCATTGTAAAGTTGAAAAATCCTAACCCAACCATCTAAGTCAGAAACTGTTTTAATATATAGTATGAAATTCATTTGAAGAAGTTGTAGTTTTTTAAATCACCACTATAAATTCCCATCCTATCACATATTTAAAAAAAATACATTCTCACATATAAAGCTAGGATTTCATACTGTTCATTAGCTAAAAAAGAAAAAAACTCAAAATAAGGCTTAGCATGTACAAGGCCCTAGGTACAATCCTTAGTACTAAAAACAAAACAAAACCTAAAATGCTTTTAAGAATGACTCATACTTAGCCAGGCATGGTGACGATTGCCTGTGATCCCAGTGACTCAGGAGGCTAAGAAAGGAGGATCACGAGTTTCAGGTCAACCTAAGCAACTTAATGATACCACGTCTCAAAATAAATATAATAAAAAGAGTTGGGGATATAAATAAATATAATAAAAAACCATGTAAAATGTTCCTGGGTTAGATCCCCAATACCAAAAAAAAAAAAAAAAAGAATTCAAAGCATATTTTAGCATATTTAATCACTAGTACACATATGAAATCTAAATAAGAAAACAAGCTTTTTTTTGGGGGGGGGCAAATTACGAATTGAACCCAGGAGCACCCTACCACTGAGTTTTCGTTGTCACTGTTGTTTCGATTTTTCTTTAACCACTGAGTTTTTGTTTTGTTTCTTAATACTCAAAAGACCTTTAAGTACTTTTCCTTTCTTTTTTTTTTTTTCTTAATACCAGAGATTGAACCAGTAGGGGCACCCGACTACTGAGCCACATCCCCAGCCCTATTTTGTATTTCATTTAGAGATAGGGTCTCACTGAGTTGCTTAGCGCTTTGCCCTTGTTGAGGCTGGCTTTGAACTCCTGTCTCAGCCTCCGGAGCCGCTGGGATTACAGGTGTATGCTATCTGTACCCAACTTAACCACTGTACTTTTAAGTCATAATTTACACTAGACCTTTTGCAAATCTATAAGAAGATAAACACACACTTTCACAAAGGAAATTTAAAACCACTCCCTAATTACTTTGGTTAGATATGAACCAGTGTTTCAAATTAGAGGGAAAGATCCAGTGTGTTTCTGGTTAAATTAGTTAAATCAGCAAAAAAGGCAAAATAGCTTAGGAAGAGAAGTAACAAACTAAGAGCTCTCTGCACCTGACTTACAGAAGTCCTGATTCAAATTCTTCAATTCAAATAACTGTCTCAAATACTTTTTCTTTTTTATGTATATCTTTTTGTGTTTTAAAATAAAAATCTGTAATAGTGAATTACTCTCATCTAAATGGTGTATTTAGTTAATACATAGAAAAATAAAGGATAATCACAATGAAAAACATTTCACTGAGCATACAAACTACCATTAAACACTTGATACACCTGTTACAGATGCCAAATTAGCTCTGCAGCTTGTTTTGTAATCAATTAGATCTGAATTTATATCATACTGATCTTCTAAAATATCCAAAATATTTCAGAACATTATCTCACAAAAGAGACATTTGCCTTCTCTCACTATAGAAAAAATTAACCATTATACTGACAAAGTCATAACTTAATAGAATTCTTCCATCTTGTTCTGAGTTTGCTACTCAGAACACGAATAAAAGAAATGTTGTAATAACATGGTAAGATGCCCTGGGCCCCATCCACTTCGTCCTGTTTACAGTGAAAGAATAGTTATTTGTAGAATCCATGGGGATCAACGTTTCTTACATGTCCTTGTACCTTAGTAGGAAGGAGCCCAGGCACCAAGAACTGTGGAAACAGGCTGCTAAATAACAAGCACAGTACAAATGTTGAAAGAACCAAACAAACCCATTACTGTCTGTGGAGCTCACTCTCTTCTTCCTTTACTGATCTGTTTTACTACTCAAAGCCTTTAAGAAAAAAAGACAAAACACTACGAAAACTATTTCTTAACAGATCGACTTTAAAACAAAAGAATGGTAGACTAAGACCGTGGCATTTCCTGAGATCTCTGTATTACAGATATGTATGCCTTTGTTGTCTGGCTGTGGGTCCCTCTTAGCTGGGCAGCTGGAGACTCAAAGGAACGATTTTCAAGGGACTACAAATGGTGATAGTGTATATAAATTCTGTATCCAAGTCTGAGAGTCGTGATATCTTCTGTCCTACAACCTAAAACCTTACAGCTTGTCAGGTGGTTTTTCCTCGGGTAAACGAGGACAGGAGAGGGCGGATCTTAAGACGCCCAGGGAGGAGTCGGTAGCTGCAACTCAGGTTTGACAATCAGCTGCGGGGTTATGGCCCAGGAGAAACTGAACCCACTGGATCGAGCAGCCCAGTCTCCTCCTATCTGCCCTTTGGCGTTGGCCTCAGACACCTCTCCTGGGTCCCCGCCCGTCCCTGGGAGGTCTGGGCCTCTCACCCGCTGCCAAGTTCTCACACAGCCTCAGGGGTACCCTCAGAGCGTATAGCAGCCCCAGCCCCGCCACGAACCACAACGAGGCCCCTGTCCCCGCCAGCCCGGCCCGCAGCCGCTCCCTCCAGCCCAGCGGCGGGCTCAGGCCGGGAGCAGGTGCAGGAGGAAATGCCGCAGCAGTCGCGGCTTCACTCCAGCCGTCACCGTCCGCCATCTTGCCGCTCCGGCAGGCGCCGGGAGTTGGGAGGGGAGAAGGGCAGGAAACCGAGCGTCGGGAATCCTGGGATAGTGGAGGACCTGAAGTTGGCCTCGGTAGAGGCTGAGTCCTGGGAACGGGACCTAGAAGATCTGGAAGGTGGCGGGCAGGACCCAACACTGGGCCTAACTTTTCCTTGGGGGGGGAAGGGCCGATAGTGGCACCTATTCTGGAGGAACTGAACTAAGATGTCACGCTGGAGTGGTTTTGCTTCCACACGAGATGAGGGTCACCTTTCACCCTATTCCCGGGGTTGGAAAAGCCACCGGTCTTTTCAAGGGCCGACCAGCTCTTAGCGCTTTGGATTCTGCTGCCATGGAGATCACCGGTACAGAAAAATTTAAAGGAATCACAAGTGCTCCTTAGTCGGAAGGAGCCCAGGCACCAAGAACAGTGGAAACAGGCTGCCAGCATCCATTAGATGAATGGGGAACGACTATAACTGAGAGAGAAAGATAATAGACTTCAAACTCCTGAAGGCAAAGCCGACTTCCTGGGGCACAGGCGCTCGAGGCCGTCACCCCCGGCGCGTAGCTGATATGGCGCCCTCTTGCTCGGCGTTTCCGGGCGGGTCCTTCCGACGGCCCCTGCGGTGATTCCATCACTCAGCTTCCTTCCCGGCCTGCCTCGCGCCCGCGGCCGGGCTGGGCCAGAGCAGCCCAAGATGGCCGACTTCGAGGATCGGGTGTCGGATGAGGAGAAGGTAAGGGGTCCGCCTCTCTCTCTTACCTCCTCCCCCGACTGGGAACAGGGGCCCGACCCGGCTGCGGTGGGAAGCCTGGCTGTATCCCCAGGAAAAAGAAGGTTCTTTTCCGGTGCTGGCATGCGCTCTCTGCAGTCGGGACGCTTTCCTGTTAAGGGGCTTTCCTCAGCCTCACGGTGTCCCCAGTTCCCCATTCCTTCACTCTCTTCTCTTCCTCCCGGACCTGGGGCACAGCCCAGTGACCTTCCTGTATGAGAAGAGACTTCCCTTATTGAACTGTGACTATGGACTCTTTTCTGTAATTTTGAGAGTGGGCGATAGTGATGTCGCGATGTATTAAGCAGCAGGTATTTTACCGCCTCAGGCTGTCGGGGCTCACCCCATCCCCCCATTTTTTGATGTGTTTGGGGCTAGTTTAGGGCGAGTCACTTCCTGGTCAGGGTGGACTCTTAACTTCCCTTTTTGCTCCTCCTTCCTCAGGAAGTGATTTTGCTGTCATGACTTCTACTGGGAGAGGTCTCCAAGTATTGTCCCTCTCACTACACATGCACTTATTTTCTCCTGTACTGTCGGCTGAACGAACTACCTACAACAAATGTGTTAGCCTCTGGGCATTGACTTCAGAATTTGAGCACCACTTTTCCCTGCAGATGCTCCCATGATTGTTTGCATGTGCCTACGGCCCCCTAAGTGACTCTCTCCCTTGCATCTTGCATCGTCTTAACGATAATTTATTTAAAAATAGTTCTCAGCTTCTTGTTAACCAATCCAGAATAACCAATGAATTTTTTTAAAAAACTCCAGAAAGGTTTTACGTAGTGCCTAAACCTTATGTTAACACAATCAAGTCTGGACAAAGCATCTGCCTTCTTTGATGCCCCATGGTGGTGTCTTGGGTTATTGTTGGATTTATCAGTGTGCAATTTATATACTTTTTTGTTTAAAAGTGTCTTTAAGTACAAGAGCAGGACCCAAGTGAGGTAGAATAACTATTTCACTGACAAATGCACACATTTTCTTAAAAGTTTATCAGGGTTTTTTTTTTACTAAATACAGCATTTTAAGGCTTGTAGAAATTAGAATATTCTCACCAGATAACTCCTTATAGAACAAGAATTGTGTCTTTTGTTTCCAACAGTGACTGTTAGTTCCAAGTATGCACCCCTGAGTGTTCTGTAAGTCTAGCCAGGTTTATCTTATTATTAATATTATTTAGATAGAGATTGGAGAGAAAAGGGGAACTCTTTATGATCTGGGAGTCCTCTCTACAGAATAATTTGTTATATCTACATATGGCATGCCATTTTGAAATGCCAAAGAAGGTACTCAACACTTAAAAGCAATTGAACGACACTTTATCATTAGGTTTTCTCTTATTGGAAATTTATTCTCATAAGTGTTAAAGGTTTAGAGAAAAAACAATGCTGGAAAGAAAACAATAATGTTTATTGTAAGGCAAATAGTTAATGGTGCATATAAATTTTAATTATATGAAAATTCTGGGATAAAATATTTGGTAGCTCAACTGATGGTCCATTTATTTTAAGCAAAAAATTGTTACAAAAGATTTCACAAGGAATTTAGGTAAAAATAAACGTTGAGGTTTATTGTGTTGAAGTGATAACATTTAGCCAATGTTGGATTTTTGTCCTTGCCATTGGGCTGCAATGCCTTTTTAATTAAACTTGGAAAAATATGTGTGTATTTCAATGGGCAAATTAAAATGTCTTTAGATATTAAGTATGTTAATCAGTAACATTAATCGCCTAGATTTTATAACAAATCCAGGACCAGTTTCCTCTTCTGGTGTACTTCTTTTGTTTCTTAATTTTAATAATGGCATAATAAGCAAACCATAATTGGTAAATATGCCAAAAAGTGTTGTTGAATTTCATTCATTTTTAGTAAATTTGTTTGGTGGGGGTACTGGAGATTGAACCCAAGGGCACTTAACCAATGAACCACAGCTCTTTGCAAAATCTCCAGACAGGGTCTCCATAAGTTACTGAGGCTGACCTTGAACTTGTGATCCCCTGCCTCAGTCTCCCAAGGATCACAGGCATGTTCTACCGTTCCTGACTTTAAAGATTTTTTTAGATTAACAACATTGTCTTCCTTAGGGTGTATAATTAAGTTATAGCTGATACTATAAAAATCCATATGATTTGAGGTTACTAAAATTTTGTTAGTTTTTATTCCCAGAGGTGAAACCTATTTATATCTATGAATCTGAAAGATTATATGAGTTCTCCTAACTTGTTACCTTCTTCTAGACTTGAGGTACCTTTTTTTTAGTTGTTGATGGGCCTTTATTTATTTATTTATGTATTTATTTATTTATTTATTTATTTATTCGTGCTGCTGAGAATTGAACACAGTGCCTCACACATGCGAGGCAAGTGCTCTACCACTGAGCCACAACCCCAGACACTTGAGATACCTTTTAACTGAATTTAAAAAATTGAGAAAGTATTTTTCTAACAGGAATTGTTGATATGAATGCCTTAGAAGTCATAAACTGTAAATAATGAGATTTTTGTCCTATAAGATTTATACAAACCATAGCACTATTAAACTGATTTTTTAAAATCAAGATATTTTCATCCTTAATTTGTATTTTGAATTATTAAAGGAAGTTGAAAATCTGCCCTTCCCTCTCTTCTTCTTTCTCCCCCTCTTAGCTAAGACTCAACTGTATTTGGTTTGGATTATTTTAAGACATCTAAGCCATGATGCCAGATATGTTTTAATATTGCTGACTTTATTTTTAAATATTTTATTAATATATTTTTTTAATTTTTTAAAATATTTTTAATATTTTATTTTTGTTACATGAAAGCAATGGACCCTTAAGTAAATTTGTTGAATGATGGTCTCTGGTTTCCTTGCAAGCATTTCTACGAAAAAAGCTAGTAAAATCATTCATTCTTAAAACTAACTACTGAGGGTTTCATCACATTTATAAAGAGGAAGTTGGTTTGTTAATTCTTTCTTTCGATACTGGGAATTGAACTCAGTGGTTCCTTACCACCGAGCTACATCCTCAGCTCTTCTTATTTTTTTATTTTGAAACAGAGTCTCCCCAGGTTGCCTAGGCTAGACTCCAACTTGGGATCCTCTTGCCTCAGCTTTCCGAGTCACTTGAGAATACAGGCCTGCACCACTGTGCCCCACCAGAAGCTGGGTTTTTAACTTCTTCATTATTACCTGAAATGGTCATGATGAGTTGTCTAAATAAAACAGGAAGTGGAAAATGTAATAACATGCAGAAATATATGCTTTTAGCTTTATCCTGAGTTCTTTTCTAGGTACTTAAACTCTTCAGTTACTTAGTTCTAAGTGCTTAGCAAAACCAAGATACCCTAACTAGGAAGCTTGAAATGTGGAATGAACGACTTGCTTGGGTTCTTTGCATTGTTTCCTTCATTTCACAATTCATCATTTTTTAAACAAATGCAAAGAGAATTTTAGGGCTGAAAAAAGGTGGGTTCCCCCCCACTTTAGCCTTACTAGTAGAATATTTGTATATAACTTCAAAAATAAATTAACTGAGAAATAGATCTATATGTTTTTAGTTTAGACAATAGTTTCTCTTGTAAGCCTTTTTTTTTCTCTCTTTTGAGAAACAGATTTATCAAAATCACTAGTAGAGATGTAAAAAATGTTATAAATAGATTCAGGGATTGAGGGCTCTGATAGAGCTCATGGAAATATATTAGACTAGGTTTCCTTGATTATGTATTCCCTCCTCAATTTACTAGAGGAGTCATTACTCTTGTACAGTGAAGTAAGCCCTAAAGCTATTTGCTATGACAAGTCATCAATTAGCATTAACACTTTCATTCTGGGTTTTTTGTTGTTGTTGGGGGGGGGGGCAATAGGTTTTTTGTAGTATTGGGGGTTGATCTAATGCATGCTAGGCAAATGCTGTACTACTGAGCTATATCCCCAGCCCTTTTAAAATTTTTTAATGATACAGGATCTCGCTAATAACCCAAACTGGCCTTGAACTTTGTAGCCTTCTGTCTCAGCCTCCCTAGTAGCTGGGAGTAGTAGTCTGGGCTACCACACTCATTACAGTACTTTCATTCTTTATTTTCACTTCTTTTTAGTTAGCTTTGCTGAGTAGTATTCATAGAATGTCTTACAAAATTGAGGGTCAGGAGCACAAAGCCTAAGCAGGTACAATCCTTGTTAAGAGTACAGGGTTATCATAATTTCTTATAAAGCATTAAATTATTTTATTAGAATCAGCCTTAATGCTAAACAAAGTAGTATAATTAGCCAGAAAATTAAGACCCAGGTTTGTATGATTCTGACCCATGCTTTTTTCACTACGCTTTTTTTTTTTTTTCACGTACCATGAATGAAAAACCAGAATAGAGACATCCTTTTAAGGAATTATAAGTGAGGTGTTGTGATGTAGTGGAAAGAATGGTTTAGAGTGTTAGAAGACTTGGGTTCTCCCTGGTGTGCATTTAAACAACTAGATGTGTGGTTTTGGAAAAATCACTTAAATAAGTGGGCCGCACGTTTCTTTCTAAATTAGGGAAGTAGGGGGAATTGAATCAAACCGCCCCAACAAAGTTTGATGAACTTTTTCAAACTCCAATAAAGAAATCTCTATTTTAAAAATTGAAACATTAAAATGTTCTAGGAGATTCTTACATTGTCTACTTGCCTACATTTCCCTAATAACAAGACTGAGTTCCTTAGTAACTGGACCATGTCTTTTTATCTAGTGCTTAGCACAGCATCAAGAACACAGTGTAGACACAGCCTATTGATGCAAAAGAGATCACAGCTTCGTTAATTTTCGTATTTCCCCAGCTCACATGCCTGTACCCCCAATAAAACACCCCTCTTCAAATTGTTTCTGGTAATCTCTAGGTATCGTTTTCAGGAATGTGTCTATACTTTTTTGTGTGCATTACAGTATCTAAATAAATACCTGCTGCCATCACAGGTGCTGTGCCATACCACTGCTGGGAACATTCAACCCCCCTGGGGGCCTTTTCCTAATAGATCCCATCTTGTCTTGTGGATACCAAAATGACTATGTATATATACTTGCCAGCAGCCTTGCAAACAACTAATGAAAGTATTTCCTCCTCCTGCTGTAATAAATTCAGAAAAACACATGCTACAGGACCAGGCATTATTTGTTCTTTTCTCTCTCTGTCTGGTGTATAAATTTTTCCCATCTCCTTGCCAAAAACAAACAAATCCTTAAGTGGATCACAAAATTTAAAACTCTGGATGGGGGAATTTAGTCATGATAGTGAAGACAAATGACTGGGCATTTTTAACTTGAAAATTTCAATATCTGTGTAGTGTTATTATCTTCCTCTGTTACCTCCCTTCATCATATTTCCTTTCTGCTCCTTTGGAACTCTTCATTTCTCTGCATCCCACCATGAGTCTCCTGTGGAGAGGTGTAGAACATTTCCTATCATCTTTTACACCTTTAGCCTCTCCTTTTGTTCATTCAGTATTTAGTCCTGTAAATTCTTCCTTCTTGTCATTAGATTCTGCTCCTCCATCTCCATTAATTTTTAAAAACTTTTTATTTTATGCATATGAGAACTATAATTACATGCTTTAAGTGGTGGGAAAGGGTGTGAGTTAAAAGTCCCCTCTTATTCCTCTTCTCCAGTTCTGCTGAAAGTCAGCCAATATTAACAATTCTTTTTGTATCTTTTCTATTCTATGCATATCCAGACAAAAAGATATGCTTTGTACTTAATAGTTTCTCTGACCTGTCCACATTTCTTCTAACACTGTCTTTATTTGGGACTTCTTCTTATTTGAATTATTTTTAATAACATTCTTAATTATTCTCTCTGCCTCTACCCTCTCCTTTCTTTCTACATTCTAGCTGATTTATTATAAATTCTTCACAGTTATATTAATGAGTTTTGAGCAGTATGTAAAATTTATCTTTGCTACATATGTATTTTAGGGTGATGTCTTATGAGATGTAATGTTCAGTTCAGTGAATCATATGATATCACTACAATATCAGTCAGGGTATAGCATATAAATAAAAAGTTAGTATAATACTGTACTGCAATAAAGAAAAGTGGTAGGATTTTTTAAATGTGAGAGAACTTTGACTTGTGGATTCTTTGTTTTGTATCTAGGTAACATTTAAGTACTTTCTGTGTGCTAGGTACTCTGTATTATACCAGTAGGAGAGATACTTACTTGTCCTCATTTTACAGTTTGATAAACTGAGGCACATTTAAGGTTAAAAAAAAAGCCAACTTTGTAAACTTTGTAGAATAATTAATAGAGCAGGGTAACATCAGTAGACTATTTCCGGAGCCTATGATCCTGCTTATTTTGATTCTTTGGAGTAGATGGTGAAGATAGTAAGCAGTTCTGTTGATACAATGACATAGTCTTAAACAGCAACCAAGTTAATGGTGTAGTAACATGAATGCGTTTATAGAAAATAAAATATTGAGGCTTTCAGGAGATAACTGCATATAATTATTACTTAATAAGTTTTTTTTTTTTTCTGTTTTTGTTTTTTTGGTACCAGGGCTTGAACCCAGGCAGGGGCTCAATCACTGAGACACATTTCCAGCCTTATTTTTTGAGACAGGGTCTCACTAAGTTGCTGTGTCTAGCTTTGATTCCTAGTCCTCCTCCTGAGCTCAGTTGCTCAGGGGAAAAACTTTGGTATTATTTTTTATTGTTCTTTCTCTGACTCTGTGTGTGGGCCATTAGCATATCTTGTAGCTCCACCTTTAAAATAAACTCAAAATTTGACTGTTTTTCACCACACCTTTATTCCACCACTCTTGAAGAAGCCACTAAAATCTCTTAATCTAGATTTTTACAAAGTCTTCTCTGATTCCCTGTTTTTACTATTGTTCCCTGCCCCAACTCCTGTTCCAACACCTCCTCTCAGGAAAGCACCCAGAATGATCTGGTTAGAATGTAGGTAAGAATATGTCACTCCTGCTCACAACCCTCCAGTAGAATATAAGTTATTACCCTGACATCCACCTCCTACCCTGGAGATTGAACCCAGGACCTCTGCCACTGAGACACATTCCAAGCCCTTTTTTATTATTTTATTTTGAGACAAGGTCTTGCTAAGTTGCCCACACTGGTCTTGAGCTTGACATCATCCTGCCTCAGACTCCCTTACAAGGAGTATACCACCATGCCCATCTGTCTTGGGATTTTTACCTCTTTGCCACTTTTCTTGAGTTCATCTCCCACCATTTCTGATACCCTGATACTCTCTGGTCCATCCGTACATTCTCACTAAGGGTCTTTTATTTTCTCTCTTCTCTGGAGTTCTCTTCCTTCTGTATCACTTACTTCATTCAGTTATTTAACCTGAATTATCTCCTCTGTGAAGACTTATCTGGTTACCCTGTTCAATTCCGAATTCTGACATTTTGCATCCCCTTTCTTTGCCTTATCTTTTATTCTTTCACATTTATTACTAACATACTATGTATTTGAGTTATTTTTTGTTATCTGTTGTCTCTCCACCTACTAGAATGTAAGCTCCATGAGGACAGCATGCTAATGAATAACTATTGCCTAAAACATAGTAGGCCTAGATTTTTGTTGAATGAATGAGTGAATGAATGTTGCTTTAACAGTTTGTCTTGATTTTTCATTAGTTAAATTCCAGAGAGCAGTCTGATTTCCAGGTTTTGAGAAGCTCTAGTGCTAATGCCAGTACTTTCTTATTAACTGACAGAAATTTTTATTTTATTATTATTTTTATTTTATTTATTTTATTTTATTATTATTTTTATTTTATTTATTTTATTATTATTATTATTATTTTATTTTAATGGAACTTTGTAGTCAGAAAGTTTCAGCAGGTTTCCATAACCTACAGAATAAAAACAGGTTTGATATTAGCTTACTACTGCCATCTGACTCATCTACCCTTCTCTTTTATTATCTCCCAGTAAGTCCTCTGATCACCCAAACTGATCCGCTTTAAAAAAATATTTTCCTATCTTTTTTGTTCTTACTACTCATTTTCCCACCTTTTTGGTTCTTACTATTTCACTCTCTTGTAATGGCCCCTGGAAGTATCTGAAGCACTTGGCAGAATATAGCTTAGATCCTTTCTCTTCCTTCTAAAACAGGGTTCTGTTTTGTTTTTGTATTGTTTTGTTTTTTGGTACTGGAAATTGAACCGAAGGGCACTTTACCACTGATTTCCATCCACAGCCCTTTTTATTTTTTATTTTGAGCTGAGGTCTCTCTAAGTTCCTTAGGACCTTGCCAGGTTGCTGGGGCTGTCCTCGACCTTCCATCTTCCTGCCTCCGCCTCCTGAGTTGTTGGGATTACAGGTATGCACCTCTGTGCCTGGCTTCCTTATAACTGTTCTTTCACCAACCCAGCCCTTATCATCTCCTTCCCTATAAGTTCTGTGCCATATATTATCTGTACTACTTATTTGGCAGTTTTGCTGCTTTGGATTGTAGTTATTTTAAAATAATTGACACATCCTTATTGAGGACTATTATTTGTGTTAATTGTTTTGCTATTGTAATGTATACAGAATTTGGAAAACCAAGTTACTGAACAGTGTTTCTTCTATCCATTGTGATTATTTTCTACTTTATATTAAGTGAAGGTAGTGGTTTTCAACCTTGACAACATGTTAGAATCACCTGAGGAAGGCTTTAAAAGTCTTTGTGTCCATCCAAATGTAGTGGCCACATGCCTATAATTTCAGTGACTTGGGAGGCTGAGGCAGGAGAGGGTCGAAAGTTCAAGACCAGCCTCAGCAACTTAGTGAGGCCTATCAAAAAGAAAAAGAAAAAAAATTCACTACCCAAGCCCTACTAATGAGTACTCTGCCTGTTAAGAGACGTATTACTTTGGAATCTCTGCAGATAGAACCCAGGTATCAGTTCATTTAAATCTCCCCAAGTCATTCTAATCTGTAGCCAGAATTTAGAACCAGTGCTTTCAAGCAAAAGGGAATTTGTTGGCTTACTTCTTTGGCTGTTCTCCTTTTGTCCCTGTCTTACTACTTATCTCAGTGCCCAGGACCAAATGAATTATTTTTTTGTTTACCTATAAAAATGTGAACTATTTTTGTCTAACTTTAAATCCTATTTTTGTCATTCATTTAATTTTTAATTTTTTTTTTTTTTTTGGAGAGAGGAGAGAGAATTTTTATTTATTTATTTTTTTTAGTTTTCGTTGGACACAACATCTTTGTTTGTATGTGGTGCTGAGGATCGAACCCGGGCCACACGCATGCCAGGCGAGCACGCTACCGCTTGAGCCACATCCCCAGCCCCTATTTTTAATATTTTTATTGGTGAATTATAATTATATACAATAGTAGTCTTTATTATATGTTCACATTGTATAGCATGATTTGTATTGTTTCATTTCCCCATACTTCCTTTTTCCCTTCTACCTTCCCTCCCTCTATTCCCCATCTTCTGCTTCTATTTCAATGAGATCTCTTTTATTTCCCATTTTCTCTCTAGCTTCCACATATGAGAAAAAACATACAATCCTTGACTTTCTGAGTCTGGCTTATTTCACTTAGCATAATGTTCTCCATTTTTCTTCATCTATTTTCCTGCAAATTATATAATTTTGTTCTTCTTTATGTCTGAGTAAAACCTCATTGTATGTATGTACCATATTTTCTTTATCCTTAGATGGACACCTCGGCTAGTTCCATAACTTGACTACTGTGAACTGTGCTGCTATAAATTTTGTTATGCATGTATTGCTATAGAATGCTGACTTAAATTCTTTTGGATAAATACTGAGGAGTGGTATAGCTGGGTCATATGGTGGGTTCATTTCTAGTCTTTTGAAGTATCTTCATATTAATTTCCATAATAGTTATATTAATTTACAATTCCACCAACATGTAAGTTAAAATTTTTTTCTTAAAATTTTTTTTTATTGTAGAGACACAATACCTTTATTTTATTTATTTCATTTTTATATGGCACTGAGGATTGAACCCGGTGCCTCACACATGCTAGGCAAGCACTCTACCACTGAGCTCCAGCCCCTGTAAGTTGAACTCTTAAAAGAAGACCTATTACTCAAAATCTGATAATGTATAGACATTTGCTTAGGGGGAAATATATAGATATCTAAGTCCATTTCATGTTATTTCATTGCATTAGATATCTAAGTCCATTTCATGTTATTTCATTGCATTAGGTTGTTTTGTTTTGTTGTTGTTGGGGGTACTGGGAATTTAACCCATAGGTGCTCGTCCGCTGAGCCACAACCCCAGCCCTTTTTATTTTCATTTTGAGACAGGATCTCGCTAAGTTGCTGAGACTGGCCTCAAACTTATGATCCTCCTGCCTTAGCCTCCTGAGTTGCTGGGATTACAGGCATGTGCCACTGCACCTGGCTACTTTGGATTCATCAAGTAGTATTAAGCAAGCATTATACTCTCTAATGAAGAAACCAAAACCCAAGCAATTAAGTGGTAAAGCTAGCATGTGAATCCACGTTTGACTCCCAGTGATTCTGAAGAAAAAATAGAATCAGCAAAAAGATACACTTTTAAGGTAGGATGCCATAACATGCCAGATGAGCACTAGATGTTAAAACAAAATCCTTCTTGTTTTTTATTGTTTCTGTTTCCATCCAGTTAACTCTACTATTTTGGACTTGATGTCTGCATCATTACTGTCTGGCACCTGAATCTCAAAGTGTCAGTGTGGACTTTTCCCTAATTTCTTCACTGAGTCTATTTTCAAAAAAAAAAAATTCATCTTATCTTGTAATGGGTATTTTAACACATTTAAGTTCCAAAGCAACAAGGTGCTCGTTTATTTTTTTTAATTCATTTTAATCTGATTTTCAACTCATTAGAACATTCTCTCACTTTTATATTTCCTAGTTCTTGATCTAGATATTTAAGCAGATATGCCAATTAAACTAAATAGGATTCTGTTTTAGTCAGCTTTTTCACTGCTATGACTAAAAGGATCTGACCAGAACAAATGTAAGGAGGAAAAGTTTATTTGAAGGCTCGTGGTTTCAGAGGTTTTAGTCCATAGAAGGCTGGCTTCATTCCTTAGGGCTTGAGGTTAGTCTGAACATCATGGGGAAGAGGGTGACAGAGGGAAGCAGCTCACATCCTGGTGGTGAGGAGGCAGAGAGACTCCACTCTCCAGATACAAAATATATACTTCATAGCCATGCCCCCAGTTAACCACTTCCTCCAGCCACACCCCATCTGCCTCTAGTTACCACTCAAAATTAATCCCTATCAGGGGTTTAAATCACTGATTGTGTTAAGACTCTTAGAACCCAATAATTTCTCCTCTGAACCTTCTTGCATTGTCTCATGTGAGCTTTTGGGGGACACCTTACATCCAAACCATAACAGATCCTTTTCCTTCTTGGGTGTGTGCACATGCTTGCATGTCCATACTGTTTTACATTTATGATAATGTTTTCAATCTCAATTAAGATTGAGACAATACTCTAAAATTTTTGTTCTGTTTAACAATTGATGATTTAAGGCATACCACTTACTTTGAACTTCTAAATAAACACTTAGGATGAATGTTTGGGATTCTTTTTTTTTCTTTTTTAACCAACAGTATGGATGTCTTATATTAGGAAAGTCCAGGATGAGAACTAAGGAACTTCTAACTTGGTGCACAAAGTTGTAAACTAAAGGGAATGGTTGGGAGAGATAACTAGATAATAGAGGAACTGTTATTTGTTGTTGTTGTTGTTTTCTTGTATGCTGTAAATTTTGTGCTTAAGTATGTCATTTTTATACAGTATTTATACTGAATGGTATAAAATACAATGATCACTCCTGTTAAGGAAAAATTATTCTGAACCATGATAAAATGGTAAGACTATTAAAGACTGTTGCCATAGAGGAGACATTAGGCTCAACTCCTAATACAGTAAGATAGCAGGGGATTTATAGCCAATGAATAGAATGATGCCCCCAATGAGTACGTTATCAACAGATGGAAAATAATTAGGAAGAGACCGGGTAGACCAAAGACATACAAAGTTACAGAAATGAAGAACTTGATCAGATATCAGAGGTAGGCAAATTCTTGCTAAAACTGGGATAGGCAGTCCAAAGACAGGGGAGAAGGGAAAGTCAAGGCCTAGTTGAGGAAATGGTTCTGAAGTTTGTTGTTAATCTGTGTGTGTGTGTTTTAGTTATAATTACTTTAGCAAATCTTCACTGTTTATGAATACCAGAAAAACAGTTACTTCCTAGAATTGGTAGAATTTTTTAAAAATAAAATTGCTCTATATAAAACAAACTTGCCTGTCTTCCCTACTTACTTGTCTATAACCACTAGGAATTTATGTCTAGTAAATTATTGTCCTAGACAGTTTATTGTTGCTCTACTAAAAACATTTAAACCAGATTAAAAAATGATCCAAAATTGAGGCAAGGCATGTTCTTGTGCCGATGGTGGAAAACAGAGCCTTGCGCATGCCAGGTAAGTACTTGACCTCTGAGCTGTATCCCCAGCCAAACATACTTTCTTTTCTCTTGTCAAAAGTAACACACTGGCCTGGGGTTGTGGCTCAGCAGTAGAGCACTCGCCTAGCACATGTGAGGCCCTAGGTTCAATCCTCAGCACCACATAAAAACAAATAAAATAAAGGTATTGTGATGTTATTATTAACATCACAACTAAAAAATAAATATTAAAAAAAAAAAGTAACATACTGTGGGACTGGGGTTATGGCTCAGTGGTAGAGTACTTGTCTAGCATGTGTGAGGCACTGGGTTCGATCCCCAGCACCACATTAAAAAACTAAATAAAATAAAGGTATTATGTCCATCTACAACTAAAAAAAAAAAATTTTTTTAATGTGTGGCTCCTGGGAGATGTAACATGCCTTATGTCCCTCCTTCACTTCATTAAGTAAATAAATAAATAAATGTCCTTTCCTGAAGTGTATAGCCTCTTTGAAAAACATAACTGGGCTGGGGATGTAACTTGTAACTTGGTGGTAGCGTACTTGCCTAGCATGTGCAAGGCCCAGGGTTCAATCCTCAGCATCACCAAAATAATAACAACATCAAAAGTAATATCTTGATTATCTTCAAATGAGAAAAACTCCATTAAGAAACAGCATTTAATTGTATGCAAAAATTTCTTTCTTACCGGGATAAGAATAAAGTAGACTTCTTTAAAAAAAATAAATGTAACTTTCCTTGAATATATCTGAAATGGTGTAGAATTTAAAAATAAATTAAAATAAGCAAAGTAAAAGAAGAAGCCAATCTTTGTTTGCTGATGACATTACTCTATACCTAAAGCATTAAAAAATCTACCAGAGGGCTGTGGTTGTAGCT